GTCCTTTATGCATCAAATGACGTTGTTGGAGTTGAAAAGTTCACCCACGTAAAAGAACAGGGTTCGTAATGGCAAAAAAAAAAAAAAAAAAGAGAGAACTGGGTTCGATAATTAGACAGGAAATAAATGTGTTGGTCTCCTGGGTATATTGGATTTACGCGGTTGATATGAATCTATGAGGGAGTTGCTAAAGGTCGCCCTTAAAATTGCTAAAGGTCGCCCTAAAAAGAATAAAAGTTACACTTTTAACCCTCATAGCTTCTTTACCTTCCCTTCCTCAAACAAACATCACTTGGACTACAAAAACACTCTCTAAGGAGAGAAAAATCTCTCATCGTCATTTTGAAGCCGATATCGTCGATAGGACGTCTGAATCATGAGTAGCGACTCCGACGAGGTAAGAACATGAACCGAAAAAAAAAACACAGAAAATGGGAACCGCGGGTGATTTGCGGTCCGACCATGGTCCAACCGCAAGTGACCTGCGGTTGGACCATGGCCGGACCGCAAATCACCTGCGGTTGAGCCATTGGTGGACCGCAATTGACCTGCGGTTGGACCATGGTCGGACCGCAAATCACCTGCGGTTCAGCCATGGTCCAACAGCAGGTCAATTGCGGTCCACCAATGGCTCAACCGCAGGTGATTTGCGGTCCGACCATGGTCAAACCGCAGGTCACTTGCGGTTGGGCATTTTTTGGTTTTTTTTTTTCGTTGAATAATTTTCTATTTTTTATATGATTTATGATTGTTCCATGAAATAATTTGTTGGGTTTTGATTTATATAATTTATTAGATTTATTTGCATAATTATTTTTGGAATTGAAGGATTTAGCATTAGAAATTAAGATTAGATTTTTGGAATTGAAGGATTTAGCATTAGAAACAAAGACCCTTACTACCCGCTCGTGTGGCCACTCCCAACTGTCTGTAGAGATAGGCTAGTGCACCAGCTCCCCAAGCGTAATCAGCCAATCGTCGATGATCCTTCAGAAACAAGTTGATCGCAGGACGAAGGCGATCACGACTCTTATCCACAGAAAGCGTGGATCCCAGTAACACAAACAGGTAACACTGCACCTCCATCTCCTTAATCTTCAGCTCTCCCCCACGCACCAACAATCCCTCTGCATGCATAGCACCATTATCGTACCACTTAGACTTCCACTTACCACCAACCTGAGCATCCACCGGAAGTCGAACTAGACCACCCATGTCTAACTTAAGAGTATCCTGCGACGCCTCATCTCCCATCAGCTGTCCGTCAACCGGTATCCGAAGAATGTGATGCACATCGTGTAGAAGGATCGAAATCTCTCCAAACGGCATGTGGAAGGTGTTTGTGTCCGGCTGCCACCTCTCCACAAATGCCGACAGTAGAGCCATGTCTAAATGCTGCATCATGCACCCTGTCAAGTGAGACAATCCTGTGGCTTCAACCATCTCCTTGGAACCCTCTGCACTCCACTTATATCGCCTCAAAGTCTCTACAGCTCTCGGCCTATGGAAGCCGTCCAACACTCCACGGTCCTGCTCAGGGGAATTCCACAGTACCAAGCCAATGTGACCTCCAAAGCTAGGGATCACATCGGGAATCACTGGTCCACCTGAACACATCGGAGACTCGGCTGTAAGAAACCACGACATATCTTTCCTCGTGGTCTTCCTCTTCCTATTTCCATCTCCGCCATCCTCGCTACTAGGTCTGGACGCATAGCGTCCATCGGGCCCACGGAAGTGGGAGGAGGCAGTAGAAGATACCCCGACCCGTGCCGTCTTCGCCACGCCTAAATCAGCTTGAGGTGGGGCATCCCCAGCCTCAGCATCACCAGCACCATCAACAGCATCATCAACAGCAGCAGCACCAGCATCTGGGGCATTCCCAACCTCAGCATCACCGTCATCATCATCATCCTCGTCAATGGAATCACTCCAATTAGCCTGCCATACCGGTGAGGTATCAGGTGTAGGAGTACTGGTAGTGCCTCGACTAAGAGACAACTGCCCCACAGTAGGGTGGCCGTCAGGACGCACTACATCCGCCTTCTTCTTCCTTCTAACTTTAGGTGGATTTTTTTCTTCATTTTCCTTCCTACCAGTCGCCGTAAGTCTACAAGCACGACCCTCCATTCTCTCCTTATTTCTCGCCTTAATCATATCCGGTTTACCCATTCCATGTCCAGACATCTTCAAAAAAAAGTTTGAATTATTAATAATGGAGTACATAAAGTAATTAATTTAAGATTTTCATAATTAAAATTATAAAACTAATAGTTTTAACATTTATGTTACGTTCTATGTAATAATTATTTACTTTTTAATCAAGGTAAAATTATTAATAATTAAGTAGATAAACGAATTACTTTGAAATTTTGATTATTAAAATGATAAAAACACATTTTTAATTTTTTTATAATGTTCTTTAAATTTGTTATCTTTAATTAACAATTATCGAATACGATTTTAAAATTTTTTATATCATATAACTAAATTAATATTATAACTAAATTAACATTTATCAAATACGTTATTATTAATTATTATTATAACTAAATTAGTATTTATCAATAATATAACTAAATTCTTTTATTATGTATATTTTTTTAATTTTTTATTATTATTAACATTTATTTAACAAATAATAAAAAAAGAATTTAAAAAACAGAATTTAAAAAAAAAGGGCCCGACCGCGGTCAACGCGCGGTTGACCGTCGGTTGAACCGCGGTCAACGTGCGGTTGAGCCAGCGGCTGACCGGGGTCAAAGCGCGATTGACCACGGGTAAACCGCGAGCCTCTCTCGTTACCTTCTCCGCGAGCGGGCTACGGCGGCGGCGACTGGACGCGACGACGGGCGACGGGACGCGAGCGGGAGGGAGCGGCGACTGGCGGGTTCGGCGGCGGCGACTGGATGCGGCGACGGGCGACGGGACGCGAGCGACGACTGGCGGGCTTCGGCGGCGGCGACTGGACGCGGGCGGCGAGAGAGGTGTCGCCGGTTCACCTTCTTCTCCGCGGCGGCGGGTTTGCAGAGGTTCTCCGGCGGCGGCAGCTTCTTCTCCGGCGGCGGCGGGTTTGCAGAGGGCAGAGGGTGGGTGGAAGGGTGGAAGGGAAGGAGGGTGAAGGGGTGAAAGGCTTGTTTGGTTGGTGAAATTTTTAAATTTTCATTAAGGGTATATAGGTAATTAGACTTTTAAGTTAGGGCGATGTTTAGCAATTTTTAGGGCGACATTTAGCGATTCAGATCTATGATTATATGATATAGACAGAAAGACTGAAGCATTAGATGCCAACCTCATCTCCTCCACAGAATAAAAGATGTCATCTTTCTCGCCCTATAAATGGCGTTTCGTCGCCATACCCAAACAAACACAACAAAACAAACATATAGGAAAACCACAGAGAAATGGACAGGGGTCGGATACTATGCTAACCCCTAAAGGGGTAGTGGTTTTTGACACCCTCCTCTTGATTGGTCACTTTTCCATTTAAGCTTTTTACTTTATTTATTGTAATCTTGTAAATTGGGAAAGCCTTAATTGTGATAATAATTATGAATGGGGAAGGAGAAAAACGTTGGTAATTATGAATGGGGAAGGATCTGGGGAAAAACGAAATCACCCCCATTAATTACATAATTAATTTCTCTCACTGGTACATTAATTACACGTACCACTCCACTGGTACACGTACCACTCCACTGGTACACGTACCACTCCACTGGTACATGTACCAGTGGAGTGGTACGTGTACCAGTGGAGTGGTACGTGTAACCATATGTCCTGTTTAGGCTTAAAAAATTGTGAAGACTTTATGTTTATTCACATTCGAAGGATAATTTATTGCTTTTGGCATTGTTGTTGGCATTTCCCTAATTTTGCAACCCATTTTGGAACACAGTTTTTGGCTACTAATGGAAAGTTCCTATTTTTTCCTTATTATTGTTTATCATTGTTATGAAAAATATCATTGCACTGGTATTGTTCTCACTCTAACCTACCTTGTGGATTGCTCGCACCAGTGGAGTGGTACGTGTACCAGTGGAGTGGTACGTGTACCAGTGGAGTGGTACGTGTACCAGTGGAGTGGTACGTGTACCAGTGGAGTGGTACGTGTAATTAATGTACCAGTGAGAGAAATTAATTATGTAATTAATGGGGGTGATTTCGTTTTTCCCCAGATTCTTTCTCTTTTCCAATGTGGTGAGAGACCCCAAATTACAAGATTAAAAAAAAAATAAAAAATCAGTTTAATTAATACTTGCCAATGATTGGAAATAAAATTGGCCAATCATAAAGGGGGTGTCAAAAATCACTACCCCTTTAGGGGTAGTCACGCTAACTGATCCCCCCAAACGTCCACAAGGCCTTCAACCACGACCACAGAGCCTACTACGAAGATCTGCAGCAGCCCAAGCCCAAGCCCAAGAAGCGGGTCCAGTTGATGGATCCAGCTGCTGGTCATGTGGCGTACGAGGCGCAAGTTGTTGATTATGATGATGATGATGAGAGTAGTGTTGATTCTGAAGCTGATGGGTTCATCCAGCAGAAGCACAAGAACTTCGAGCTCTGCAAATGGAAGACTTTCAGGCTGTAGCATACTTAAAAAGCTGCAGCTGCTACCTGCTGAAAGAGTGATTGACGACGTTATTATATAATAATTTCATAACTTACTGTTGTCGTCGTTTTTGTTGTCAAGAAGACATGTTGATGGTATGGTAACTGTTTCTCCTACTGTTGTTGTTCGTGACGAGCTTTATACAGAGTGCTGCATTTTACTTAGCTCTAGCGCAACCAAAAACAGATCTGCTTCTATTCTCCTGCATCTGAGAGTTAGTGGATACAGAAAAACAACATAAACCAATTTACGTTGTACAACTCAGCTTGAATACAGTTCGTTATGATAGACAATCGTACATTAAAATTCTTCACATATGAAACAACCACCCACTAAGGTGTTTTTTTCAAACCAGAATAGACAACTTGTGTAAAATAAAACCCAATTACGTGACACTGTGACAGTTTACATTGGCTAAGGTTGCGGTTTCACCCTTCTTTGCCGAGCCAAACAGCTTACCAGTTCGATAATGCTCGCGGACATGATAAGGACATTTGTAAAGCAGATCCTGTGCCTCAGAATGTCTGCCCTCCTTGAAGAAAGATTCAAGAACATACTTATAAGCTTCCAGTGATGGATACTGTTTACTACTCAATGACTGAAGGAGATCTGCAGCAGCTTGCACTGTCCCATGCTTGGATATGTATTGAACAAAAGGCCCGGGATATGGAGGGTAGTTGTGCTGTCTCATCAAACGAAGGAGATTCATGGACTCTTCAAGTTTGCTTGCTCCTAAGAGGCTTTCTATAAGAAGTTTATATGTAGCTTGCCGAGGTCTCACATGAGCATTATTGATCATCTCGACAAGGAATGTGTATCCACAATCTATCCTCTTTTGATCAACAAAGCCCTTCACCAAAACCTCCACCAATTCAGCATCAGCACTACCATCTTTTCTCATCATTGTACCAAAGCACATTAGTGCCTCTTCAAGCTGCCCAGCATTACAGTGGCCTTGAATTAAAATGGTCCAGGTCTTGATATCCGGCGGACATCCATTTGCTTCCATATCATCCAAGACTTTAGAAGCTTCTTCAAATCTTCCTGCTTTGCAAAGACCAAAAACCAAGTTGCTGTAGGTGATATTATCTGGCTCATGTCCTGCAGATCTCATAGCATTCACAATCTGGTCTGCTTTTGCGAAGCTTCCTGCATTCACAAGCGACCTATATAGCCCATTATAAATAGCTCTCGAGAGAACATTCCCACTCGCCGCATACTTCTTCGCAACTCTGAAAACTAAACTCAGATCCAGCTTACGGCTTGCAGACATGTTGCTAAGTAGGAAACTACAGTCTTGCGTAGAGGGTTTAAACGGACTATCCATCATGAACTCATAAAGGGTTACTGACTCCTCATACATTTCGTACTTACGGAAACGCCCCGAGATCTTCATATAGCTATCAATATCAATATAATAACCAGCACTCTTCATCTCCTCAACAATGATCCAGAATTCCCCCATTGTATCTTCCTTGCCAAGAACCCTTGCCATTGCATTGTAAGTGACGGTGTTGTGTTTATAACCCTCGCACGTAGCAACCCAACGGAAAAAGCTCAAAGCTTTGGAAGGATGATCCTTGAGCTCCCTCAACACTCTTACCACGAAATTATCGGATAGCACAATCTTCATATCCTCCAACCTTTTCTTAACCTCATCACCCCACTCTGCTTCCACAATAGCGCCAGCCACCTTCTTCGCCACACCATCCGTCGCATTTTCTCGAATCATCCTGTCATAAAATTGTTTCAACGCCACAGCATCACTCTGCATTTGATCCTTCTTAAACACCCCCAAAAGCGTACCATACGTCTCCTCATCCAAACAAAATCCCTGCTCCTCCATTTTCCTTAGAGTGATCCAAAACTTCTTCATGGAATCCTTCTTAGCAAATATTCTAAGCAGCAAGTTATATAGCGAGGAGCTTGGTACAAACCCATCTCTCGTTGTGACCCAATTGTAAAAACCCCATGCCTTGTCTGGCGCTTGGTCCAGTTTCTTCACGATATAAACAATCGTCTCATGGGTAATCGGGAAGTGGGCATTCTCCAACTGGTTCGTCAACTCCGTAGACCAATGATTTCCTAACAGTAGTTCTACCACAGAGTTCGCCGAGGAGGAGAAGCAGCGCCTTTGATGGGCGTGGAAAAAGTGAGACTCGGACTGAGAAATTTGAGAGAAACTGGTTACCTGAGAGGGCAGGGGCACCCGCGGAGCAGGGTGAAGTCTAGTAGAGCAGGCAATTCTGGAGAGCTTGATGGCCGAAAGAATTAGCCTCGATCGATTCATTTCTATTGACTGTATTCGAAGTAATCCCTGTCAGGGTTTAAGTGTTGGCCTCGCTTGAAAATGGAATAGCTGTAAATCTTCGAGCAAGGAAGGCATTTCTTCAGGGCTAGGGTTTAAGGGGTGGTTGGGTGAACAAAATTACCGTAGATCCACCCACCCACCCGTCCAATCTGATACAACCTATTTGTATGTATCGCTAAAATTAAGGTTTAAGGTTGATGAGGGGTTTCTTTTACTGAACTTCTATTCGTCGCCCTAAATTTTCAAATAAATCGCCCTAAATTTATTGAATGGACTTTTTTACCCCCAACTTAAAAAAAAACCCTAATCTGCCGAGAGTTTGACTCCCCAAGCCTCACTCCCATCGCAGCAACACCCGCCTCCTCCCCCCTTCTTTCCATTTCGAAGCGCCGCCTCCTCCCCCCTTCCATCTCCCTGCTCGCGCCGCCGATCCCTTCCATCTCCCTGCTCGCGCCGCCGATCCGCCTTCCTCTGCTCGCGCCGCCGCCGTTCACTCTCCCCAGCAACGCCGCCGATCCACGACTTCCTCTGCTCGCCATTGTCGTCGTCGCCGGGAGAAGGTGAGTCGCCCTTTCCTTCGTTCTTTCCACTTTTTTTTTTTTTCGTGAATATAAATGGGGCGGGTTGAAAACCTGCTGCCGGCGGGCAATAGACCCGTCGCCGTATAAAGCATGGAGATGGAAGGGCCGGATCCTGGTTGAGGCGGGCAGGGTATCCGCCTGCGTCGGGCGGTGGCTGGGTCGCCAACCCGCCCCAACCCGGTCCAGTCGGGTATCCGACCCGGTCCAGTCGGGTATCCGACCCGCCCGGCCCGGTTCGGTCTGGTTTTCCAACCGGTCTGGTTCTGGTCTGCCCAATTTTATTTTTTTTATTAATTTAAATGAATAGGTTTATGAATTGTTGATTTTAATTAATAATAGTTGTGAATGATTATTTATGCGACATACATTAGAATGTGAATTTTGATCAACTTGATTTGAATTGTTAATTATAATTAGCATGATGATTTGAATTGTGAATGATAAAGTTTATGATTGTGAATGATTATTAGGAATAGTTAAAAAGTTTAGGATGATTAATAATAATAATTCTGAAAAAAATTATTTTCTTGATAGTTGGTAAAAATGAACGAAAGAAAGGGAAAGTCGAGGGTTGTCGGACGCAATGTTACTGGATCTGAGCGGAGAAAACGTCATGAGGAGAAGGATAGAGCTCTTGAGCTGGAGCGTTAGGAGAAGCTTGCTCGTCAAGCTGTAGTTGATCATGCCCCCTCTAGCCATGATTCTCGACAGATGCGAGTCATCAACACATATGATGACTTGGTGGAGGATGCCACGAGCAGTGATGATGAGTGTGATGAGGGTGATGAGGAGGGTGATGAGGAGGGTGATTTGTTGTCGTTTCCTGATGCTTTTTACCAGGGCCATCCTGTGGGTTCGAGCGATCACGTGTCTACTGGCTCGACCCATGTTAGTACTCGGGTTGGGCCGCTACGTGGTAAGGATGGTCGTTTTGCTTCATCATCTAGTGGGAGCGTCCCTTCACGGAAGAAGTTGGTGGATCAGACATGGCTGTTACAGGAGCAGGTCCTGGGGGTCCGAGTGACCACAGTTTGATCCCTAGTTTCGGTGGTCACATAAGCCATCGTTTGTGGACTTTGGGTTTGGATTTTCGAGTGATGTCTGAGTATCAGTTCTACACTCGGCAGGGTGGAGTGGATCGACTGAGGTTGTACAAGTTCTCGACTCCACGTGTAGAGAACTTGGTTAGGGCATCTAAGTTGTACCACTTGAGTAGTTGCATGATGCATAGTGTGGATTACCCTCTCTTGGAGGCGTTTATTCAGAGGTGGCAGCCGGATACCAACACGTTTCACATACCGTTCGGGGAGATGACGATCACTCTTCACGATGTTTCATTCCTGCTCCAGATTCCAGTTGATGGAGAGTTACTTGCTGCATCAGCTAAGGGTGATCCGTCGTTCGTGAGTGGGATTGTTGATCTTCTTGGGATTCCAGAGAAGAATGCAGTGGCAGCGCGTGGCATCCGTTGGTATGACGGTGGTGGGATGTTGGTAGATGAGGCCATGACACGTCTACATGCTAGGGAGGATGGGGATGCTGAGGCACGATGCTATTTAATGTGTTTGATAGGGTCCACACTTTTTGTGGATAAGAGTTCTGATCGTGTTCGTGGATGGTTGTACTCTTACTTCAGAGATTTGCAGATGGTTAGTAAGTATGCATGGGGTGCTGGTGCGCTTGCCTGGATGTATAGGCAGCTTGGGAGATCTAGTCGAGCAGGATCTAAGGGATTTTCTGGGTGCTTGACCTTGTTACAGGCTTGGATCTATGAGTATTTTCCATCGTTGCGCATTAACAGAGCTGCACCACAGACCGTGGCACAGGGAGACCCATTGGCTAGGAGGTGGGAGGGTCCCGTTCATGGAGGGGGGCCTAGTGAGGTTCCACGACGGTTGGATCATTATCGTCGACTGTTGGATGGCTTTACAGCGGACCACGTGGACTGGCTTCCTTTTGGTGCCCACCCTGGTCGTGCGGTACCTAGATCTTTGTATCGGGGGGTGATACGTATCTATGACGTGACTGAGGCCTACGATCCCTCACGCACTCTCCGTCAGTTTGGGTATAGACAGGTGATCCCTGATCCTCCTATTCGACCATCTCGTGTCAGTCGACCTGCTGTAGGGACCTATAGGGTCGTTTTTGGGGCCGACCTCGATCAGCTTTGGAGGTCTCGTGGTCAGCTGATCAATTTGGATGCCTACTCTACACCTTTTGACTACACAGGATCCGTTGACCCAGAGTACCTTAAGTGGTACACTTTGCGCACTCACCCTTGCATTGTCCCCCCCAGAGATGGTGAGCAGCAGGAGGTGGCGTTGTTGACGTATGAGATGGTTAGTTTCTATGTTTTTCCCCTATTGGTAAATTTTATTTATAACATTTTATACTACTGTGGTATGATATACTAACACTAAATTTTATTTCTTGGACATTTGCAGCTAGCATGTCAGATTATTGATGGTATTGATCCCAATTGTTTCTAACCTCTGTGATGATATCTTGTCTCATTTGTAGGTAGTGTCCCTCGTCTCCATGAATCGCATGTGACATGGCCCGAAAACCACATTGCCCGTCTGGTTCTGGGTCAAGCCAACCTCTAACAAGAGGGTGGATGCTGGGTGGGACATAGCGAAGATAGGGGCAAACATTTCTCTCATTATGAACTTGCATATGCTGACTTTTTCGTGCACCTACAACAAATGAGACAAGATATCATCACAAAAATATTAAAATGAGACAAGATATCATCACAAATGAGACAAGATATCATCACAAAAATATTAAAATGATGCTAACCTGCTGGGGTTTTGCTCCTAGGTGTCCTCGGGCTCTGATTTGTTTTGCTCCTAGGTGTCCTCGGGCTCTGATTTGTTTTGCTCCTCTTTTCTGCCCTTGCCCTCTCATGCTCAAACGAAGAAGGATCTCGGGCGTTGGCCCTCTTAGGTGGTCGTCCCCTTTGAGCCTCTGACTCCCTAGGCTCTTGTAGGCCTTCAACTTCGTCTCATCCGACACCAATGCAAACCCAATATTGAAGTTCTTCTTCACCGGACTAACACCAATCAACTGAACTAGTGGCTGCTTATACTTGTTGGTCGTGTAAGTTGAGTCTATCAAAATGACGAAATACCATGCGCTCAACATCCGAATAGACTCTGGATGGCAAAGGAAGAGTCTAGAAACACGACGCTCATCATCAAACTCGCACTCAACAAAGTAATCGAGACGTTGAGCTTCTATCAATGTCCACCGCATAGGTTTCATGCCACCCAATCTCTCACGCCTAATCTTTTCTGTCTCGTTATAAATCTGCTTCATATGGTGATGAGCATCATACTTCCTATTCACAAAACTCCTAATATCTCTTGCTTGAGTATGTGTTGCCTCCATCTCCTTAATATCCATTCTTCTCTCTTTCGAAAGATAATTCCTTTGCCTACTTCCTTCAGAATAAACCTCCAATTTGTGATTGTGAAATCCTCTCGACTTACCCGGATTATCTTTGTCCTTAACACCAAAAATTCTCCACTCGCACTTGCCATCTACCAATGAACAACGCACTACCACTCGGAAACGACAATCAGACTTACCTGTTTTAGATTTGCACCGTGTTGTTTTTGCCAAATCAGGAGTATATGACTTGTTCCTATAGCCATGGTTGCAATCCATATAGTACCGCGGATATTTTTCTGATGAGTGATTTTGCTTGACTGATCCCACAATCAAGAAAAACCTATTTCTCATGGCAATCTCCCTTGCAGCCGCACAAGCATCATCATGGGTATCATAAACAACATCATTTATGAAAAATGATGTGTAATCAACATTGTCACCCTTATCATTTCCAAAACCTCCCTACAAAAAATACACGTATAAATATTTACGTTAGTCTTGAAACAATTATGTTGCAATAATTTAACTATTAAACAACAAAGAAATAAGGTATTTACCGAATCACTCATTTTAAACTTGTTATTTGATGATGATAGCGAAAGAGGCTTCTACACTTTGTCCTCCCTCCTACAAGCACAACAAAAAAACAAATTTTAATGAACATATAATATATTTCAATTGAATTTCATCAAAATTTGTCTAACAATTCACAAAAATCCATCTAAAAAATCACAAAAACCGGCCCCAAGCATGTGAAAAACATGACTCGCCAATGGTTTAAACGTGTTGCGCAGATGCCTCTACCAGTGAGCGAGCATGTTCTTTACGGGATTATACCGTAGGCCAAGCGGGTTGTCTACCCGCCTTGTCCATGGAACGACATGTATCCGGAAGGGTGAGGCGGCGGCACGGACAGGTCAATTACAAGCCTCTCCATCAGCGCGGGCATGTTATCTACCCGCCTCTCCACTGACGCGAGCATGTTGTCTGCCCACCTGTCCACTGACGCGGGCATGCTGTCTACCCGCCCGTTTGATGGATCAGGCATGTTAATTACATGCTTGATAAGAGGAACGGACATGTTGTCTGCCTGTTTCCCCCATGGAGAGACGTGTTTTCAACCTGCCTCTCCAGCGGCGCGAACATAATTTCAAAGCGTTTGTTCTCGTAAAACCAGGAAAAAAATGAATAATGCAGCATACCTTTGATCGAATACTTGACTGCCGAGTGTACCTTTGGCTCCAATAATCTTGCCGAATCCAAATAAAACTCACCAATAAAGAAGAGAATAGTTGAGAATTGTTGTGGTGTGGGATTTGATTAATTTTTTGTTTAATGTTTCCACTCTTTGTCTCTACAAAGAGTGGAAAAGTGTAGGACCATTATGTCCTACTACAATATATGGGTTTTAAACCCTAAAACCCTAAAACCCACCCAAGGGCATTTTGGTCAGTTTACATATATTAGGGCGAAAAATTTAAATAATTAGGGCGACAAATAGGAACCCTCTTCTTTTATGGAACCTGTCTCACTTGGATTGGGTGCGGATTTTGGATTGTACAATCAGTAGATACCCGAACGAAATCGTGTTACAACTATTATCCTAAATGCTCGATCCAAGACGTATTAATATCGTATACAATCATATTTGTGAGGAAAAATGGATATTGTGTCATATCAAATGTACTTGATATAGGGTATGGTTCACATTGTTTGTTTGTGCGTATAAAATTTTAGAAGAATAACATATTATGGATGTGTTAGTTTATAATGAATAACGTCTTTAGTTTATTTTGGTAAATATTTATGAAAGATACTAGGCATATGTTGAATCAAATTGCACTTCTTTAAGAGCCAAACAACCACTTCTATGCATTTTATATTTTTCACTTTGTTTATTTGCTAAAATTTAATTAATTGTATAAAATTTAAGAGCCAACCAAATCATAAACAACCGTAGATTTATAATTTTTTTGGGTATCTATGAATTAGTATTTTCAAACCAAAATGTATAGTATGGATGATTAAAACGACTAAATCCGAACCACTCGATCCATGCACATTCCTACCAGCGAGTTCCTTTAAAGTTTAAACCCTAGAAAGAAAGTGAACCCTTGACATTGATGGGAATGTGGGACTAGGGGTGTGGCTTACTCGGTTTTGGTTTCCGCTAAACCGATTAAAACATGGTTAAAACCAGGAATGACAGTGTGCTATGTTAAATTGGTGGTATGTTGGTTGATACATCTGATAGCAGACACTAATTGGTTGGAATATCTTGTTATGAAGTGTTAGTCAATACTTAATGCCAATCATTTCCGAAAATCCCGATGGTCCAATAAGTATGACCAATTCTCGGCTCTAAATAAAATGATGTTGTTTTGATGAATTTAATTGAACAAATAATTGTGTATTTAAAAAATGAAGATTTGTCATATTGTTTGTAATGTTGTATTTTATTTAAATATGGATGTTGATGTTATTTGTTAGATTCATGTATAAATGTTCGAATGTTGACGTTAAAATTTGTATTTTATTCATAAAAAAAATCATATTTAAATATGATAATCTATCATTTTGTTTGTAATACTGTATTTTATTTAAACACGAATGCAGTTTGTAGGAAGATTGTCTTGATGAGATTGATTATATATATGCGTACTTCATTTGGGGTTACTAGTTTATCACTTTTCGTACATATTTTGTTAAGCCGGCATAAACTGACATATACTGATTGTAACCCGATCGGGTTGTAGCATTTGTTAAACCTGTGTAAGGTATAAAATAGTTTCAGAACTTTGGCACTGTGCAAGTAGTGGGTGGGCATTAGATCGAGTTCAGATCGGATATTTATACTTAAGATGTAGGTGATAAAATATCGACTAACGAGTATATATTTAAAGAAAAAACAAATTTTTATTATAAATTTGCCAGATGATTATATTGATTGAAAAAACAAAGATCACAAATTAGTGAAATTACACACTGGACCCAACCCAGGCACGAAAATCATACAATCGACACAAAGTCGAAGACAAAGAAATGGCCTTCCTAGCCACTGAATGGGCTACCCTACTGCTAATCCAACCCACGAATCGACACGAAAACCACTATTCAAAGCCATCAGACGCATAATCTCCTGGATAATAGCCCTAACACGACTATCTTGCGCATCCTTCGCATTAATCTTATCAATAAGCACCTTTGCATCACCCTCAAACCGAACGTGAGGGATGCCAAGATTTTGACACCACTGAATAGCTTCACGGAGGACAATAGTCTCCACCACAAGAGGGTTAACAATGTTTTCAAGAACCATTCCTCTTGCTAAGAGCACAGATCCTCATCCATTCTTTATTATCAGACCTCTCGTTGAATGTGAGTCAGCACGTACCGCACCATCCCACATACAGACAATAGATGTCGAATCTACCACCTCTAGATTGTGTGCAAAGGAAACCGATCCCGGACCAACCTATATGCTGGTAAAGACACCCATTCATGGAGTTGCTAATGGTATGGCGCATCAATTGAGGAATCAAGGACTGCTTGCCCTCAAAGCATCCCCATTTCTAGATTTCCAAATACGCCATAGGAGCGTCACGAGAGCCATAATCTGAGCAGGCTGGGTCATCCTAAGCAAGCACTTTTTGAGGGGAAAAAAAGGAAATGTTTGTCGCGGCAAACCGTGCCCCAAATGCTCCAATCCTGAATGAGTCCAGAGAGATGTAGTGATTGGACACTCCCAAAAGAGATGCTCCATCGTTTCAGATTCTGCCTAACACATCGGGCATCGAGGCAAAATCTTGACCCTTTTCCCAATCAAAGATTCAGTAGTAAGCAGGATATGGTGAAAAATTTGCCATAGGAATAGTTTTAGCTTAGACGGGATCTTGAGTTTCCACAGTCTCATTCAACTTGCCCTATCCATCCAACTCACCATGGGGCGCCACACTCCAACCTATCTATCCACCAAAACCGCCAAGTGGTAAGCAGATTTGACAGTGAACACTCCATCACATGTATCATGTCATACAAATCTATCCTCTATACCCATACGGGGCAAAGGAATCGCCATGATGACACATACTACATCGGGTGGAAACATCTGCTGAAGAGATTGTCGACACCATCCTCCTTCCCTGTGATCTATAAGCTCAGCTACCTTCGGGTCATTACCCTCCGGAATGACACGAGGATTACACAGTAGAGGGTGCAGATGAGTAGACGGGATACAACTAGAATGTTAGATAGAGGCCTAGAGCTCATTCCCAGTTTGCACCGAAGTCCTCGTTGGAGGAGGAGGCGGCCATGGAAAATACTCTGTCACCCCCACGATGGGCGAGACCGCACAGTCGTTGTTAGGAATGTACCATTTGGAAAGTATTTGCCTTTATATATCTGGCAGGTTTGTTGCGAATACACCATCCAATCTTAGCCAAGGGGGTTTAATTAAAATGCTCAAACTGCCAAAATCTTATCCCCCATCATGTTTACTCGTGCACAAATTCCTCCACTAAATCCACCTAATTCGAGGGCGGCCCCCTTCCACTCCCACCAAAATCTAGCTACATTCTTATTCATAATGCGACATAGTGAAAGAGGGAGTTTAAAGAAGGACATAACATGGAGCGGCAAATAGAACGCAATTGATTTAAGCAACGTCTCCTTAGCCTCACATGAACGCACCTTCTGTTTACATCCCTGTAGCAGTTCCAACAACTTCTCCTCCAAATAACGGAAAGTAGCCATCTTGGACTGAGCAATCAAGGTGGGTAAGTCCAAATATTTATCATGAACTCCTACCGCTCCTACGCCAAGCTAGAGAGAAAGGGTTTCTTGATCCACCGGCAGAATATTCTTACTAAAGCACACTGCGGATTTAGCCAAGTTGACCCTTTGCCCACTAAGCTCATCATATTCATTCAAGACCTCCAACAGGTTATCACATTCTTGCATCGATCCACTGAGAAATAGATATGAATCATCGGCAAAGAACATGTTATAAACGCGCTGCTACGGATTGGGAAATCGCCGGAATCGATAAAGCAAGAATACGAAAGCGAGAATCGAAAAACACAGACACGCGATTTACGTGGTTCACTAACACGATGTGTGTTAGCTAGTCCACGGGCGAGAGAGAGCCAGTTTCACTATATCGAGGAGATTACAGATTATAGAGGAGTATGAGAAGTTTTATACTTCTCCATGTGGGTCTAAACCTAATCCAATATGGCAAAGGAAACGGTTACAGACCAGGCCCAGAAACCGAACCCAAATAACATTGATAGTCCGATTCAAGTCACATCAACAGAACAGATGAGAAACACACGAGCCTATAGGACTAACCCGAATGCCTGCTAGCTTCTGCTCCTCAATGACCTTGCATATGAGCGCCGCAAAACCCTCTATGCAGATGACAAAGAGGAGGGGAGACAAAGGATAGCCCTGCTGAAGTCCCCGAGCCGAGTTAAAATAACCAGCTGGTGTACCATTCATAAGAATAGAAAACGAGGAGGAATGCAAGCGATCCCCAATCCATTGCACCCAAGTCGGATTAAACCCCATTTTCCCTAAAACTGCAAGTAAGAACGGTCATTCGACTCTATCATAGGCCTTCTCCATATCAACCTTAAGAGCCATATACCACTTTTTACCCTTAGTCTTAATCTTAAGGTAATGCATCAATTCGTGATCAATGGGAACATTATCCACTATCTGTCTTTCACGAATAAACACGTTCTGTCCCGGCAAAATTATCGCAGGGAGGAACCGTGCCAATCGTTTAGACATAATCTTGGCAATGATTTTGTACACGAATTGACATAAACTGATAGGTCTCAACTGGCGCATATTCTCTCCATTATCCACTTTGGGAATAAGCGTTATCCAAGTGTGGTTAAAGTTTCGTAACATCCTTCCTGTACGAAAAAAGAGAGCAGAAAGCTTCCATCATTGACTCACCAATGATATCCCAGAATGCACGAAAGAATTTCCTAGTGAACCCATCGATCCCGAAGTCTGGGTGCATCCAATCGAGAAGACTGTCTGCCGGATTTCCAACACCAGAACCTCAGCGGCCAGAGCCGCATTCATCTCCTTAGTTACCGTCTGAGCAATAGGTAGATCAGCCACACGGGCCTCCATATTCTCGACATGGTTCACAGAGGTAAAGAGGAGCTGGAAGAAATCAACATAAATATATGCCTTCCCCTTCTCATCGATGATCCATTCCCACTTCTCACCGCAGCCACACGGCGCTAAGCAAGATGTCAAACTTGTGAGAGAAGTAAGAGACAAATCCAGGGAATCAAGGGAGAAGAATAAGCACAAATTGTCAATAATGAGTATGGATCTTTCTCAATATAGTCCTCGAACTTGAAGTTCCTATCAAAGAAAAAAAAAAGATGATCCAGTTATAGGCTAAATGATAATTCTTATTATACCTCCTACCTACTTGTAAGCTTTTAAGTAGTTTGATTTACGCTTGATGTATGCTTTACTTTAACTAGTTTGGTTTATGACTGATGTATGCTTTAGTTTGAGTGTATTGTTTTAACTAGTTTGATTTATGATTAATGTATGATTATTTCTAGTGTAACTCTTTAATTATTAATGCAACTACTTTCTTTATTATAACACTACAACAAGAGAAAAATGCATCATATAACATGAGTGCATGAGAAATACGTTAATAAAAATCAAAAAGTACATATAGTAGACTTAGGACATATTACATATTCAACTAATATAAGTGCATAAGCTAAACTTAGGACACATCAAATCTCTACTAAGGCAAAATACATATGTATAGCCATAATTATTGACTTTGTGACACTAATAACCAATTTTTCAGAAATACACAAAATGTCTAATTTTGTCCAAAACTTTAATAGAGTCATTTTAGATGATGACTGGACTAACGGTTTTGTTGACTTGGCGATGCTCAATTAGAAAATATTGCCAGGTGGAATTAACTAAATTGACTTGCATAGCCATAACTATCGACTTTGTGATAATAATAGTCAATTTCTGAGAAATACACAAAATGTCCAGATTTTGAAACATGTTTGACAAATTTAGCCATTTTCGTTAAAAACTTTAACATGATTATGTCAGTTGCATTAACAAGATGCTGCCATGGATCTCATCTTGATGCACAGGTCAGCGACAACTCGACATTGTCAAGTAAGCAGAAACGTAAGTCCAGTCAACATCTAAAATGACTTCGTTAAAATTTTGGACGAAATTGGACATTTTGTGTATTTATGAGAAATTGTAGATTATTGTCACAAAGTCGATAGTTAAACCTATACATGTGTATTATATCATTAAAGTATGACGTGACATCCTCGTCAGCATCACGTTGATGTAACTTACGAAGTCTCTAACAACGATAAAGTTCTTAACTCAAGTGGCTAAATTTGTCAAACCTATTTCTAAAATCTGGACATTTTGTATATTTCTCAAAATTAATTATTATTGTTACAAAAGGAATTAGAATGTCAAATTTAACCCAATATTTGACTCGAAAACTATTTAAAGAACAAATATGTATCACGATTCACGAATAAGAGAAAAATACAATTTTACGTGTCAACCATCCACGAAGTAGCTTCTTTATCATAGCGAAGCTCTTTTGTTTTTTTGGTGGAACAGAGCAAAGCTTTCAATGTCAGAGTGCATTTTGCAAAGCGGAAAGCCAGAAAAGCATACTCCATTGGCGACCCAGAACCTTTCCCACTTCCCACCATAGTCAGTTAGCCACCGCGGCACCGCCGGCCGGCAACTCTTACTTTCGCATTAACACTCACCGGGGGGAAATTGAGCTGATTCGTCGCTCCATGGATTTCAACTTCTGGAACTCCAGAGTCCATTCCGCAAAGCACTTCTCCCCTGTACAAGCCGCCAAACAATACTACTCCGGTACTGTACTTTACCCCTTTCTCTTCACTACTTGGGCGCTTCTTTTCCATGCTAAAGTTGTCATCTTTCCGGTTGTTTCTCGATTTGTTGGGAGATACGTCCAGTTCTAATTTGTTTAACCTCTGAATCTTAGCATTAGCTGTGTGATTAGGAACAATCTAAGATGCTTTTCATGTTCCTTTTCCCAGTATCTGCTTGTTTAGGTATCTGATGTCCAGAAGGTTTCCTTCTTGCTTGCGGATTTCGAGCTAAATGATATTGATCTTTGTCGAAATTGAGGAGATGGGTTTGCGAAATTTGTTGTCCCTTTTTTTTTTTTGGGTTGTCCTCCTGGTAAACTCGGAAAGTTATGGCTTTTAAGGCAAAAAATTAATGCTCCTGGATTACACTCTGGGAATCAGAAGGAGAGGCACTACGTGGACAATCCCAGGCAAAATCCAGCGTCAGAGTTGAGCCGTTGCACAATTTAGGTTAGTTCATAAATCTCCATCCTTAATTTTTTCCAAGTGGTGGTGTTCGATTAGCAGAACACGATAAACGTTCACTGGTTTACTTGCCTAGTATGCCAACAAATGCCAGATTTCTACCGGGGGTTTTATAAGCCGTCGTCAGATATTTTAGAGATGGAATTAGGGCTAGAGAAAGCAGCAGCTGCCGCAGCATCTAGCCTGGAGAGCAGATTTCGAGGCTGTGATGTTAGGAGCGATTCTTTTTTGAGGGTGGGGGGTTTCTATAGCCAGGGGAGAAGCAATTTGATATTGCTTCCAGAATGTCAAGTTATAGTGTTGTGGTTGATCAGAGCGGTGAGTATCATGGATTGGATTCTGAAAGTGAAGATGAAGACGTGTTAATTGAGAAGATGATGGAGGCACTCAATAGATGGGACTTGGGACTGCCTCATGAGGTCGATTCCGACAATTTGGCACTGCAATCAGCCACAAACCAGCAGGGGGATGGCGTTGATGCCTCGGATGTGGGTAGTGAGGGTGATTATGATGGGATGATACCCCAATATGACAGTTTCCCTGATGAAGGTGCTTTTTCAGAAGTGCTGTTTTCCCCCTAACTATGCTTGACCAGAATGATTTAATCTGTTTTCAAAAATTAGATTTGAATTTTGTTTCAAGGTGTGGTTGCTTCAGCTATGTCCCCAGAAATGATCCACCAAAAATGAAAGCTTGCTTCCTCTTTATTGATTGACTGGAACTGTTTCTGGATCTGATTGGAAAGGGTTCGAGTAAAGGGAGTCTGTGTGGATTTGTATGATGGATTGGTGAATGTCTTGATTGCGAGATCCACTAATATATGAGCGATTTCATAACTCCTTGCTGCTAAATGTGTGTAGAGTTTTTTTCTGATTCTGTTTCTGCTATTCGGCTCATAGAATTCTGGTTGCTCATCTTTAGTTTACATGTCAAGTTGTCTGTGCTCATCTCTTTGAGTCTTTGTGCCTTTGAGGGCAATTGTGAGGTTGTTCTTGTGACTTGTAATTCATATGCCCTGCAACCTTTTGCTCTCTAGGTTGAATCATGTCCTAACCTTTGGCTGCCTTCTTTTTCCTCTAATATCAACAGATAATCATCTGGGACTGGATGAATCCGAAGGGGAAGAGGATGCCAAAGCTTTCTTTCCGTGCCCTTTTTGCTATGTGGATATTGACGTGCATGTCCTGTGCACCCATCTCCAGGATGAGCACTGCTTCAATCTGCGAAATGCTGTATGTGCTTCTTTTTCTATTGTATTATTATATACTTCAGTACTTTGTTTATTGTAGCTCTCAGTGTACGTGCGTGCGTGCATGCATTTGTATGGTGTAATTTAGTCGTAACGTCTGTAATTCTGATACGTGGCATTGGACATTTTAATTCTTTCGCTTCAGGTATTAAAGTTAGCACCATCGTTATTTATTACATGTTCTTTTTATGGATTGATTCTTCCATGTTAGGGATGACCCCTGTCCGTGAGCACGTTAATCTTTCAGATTGTGCATATGAGCGTGATCCTTTCTGTTTGGTCATCTGAACAAAGTGGATTTGCAAATGCTAGTACAGCTAGGTTTTGCTATAATAAGATTGTGATTTGAATATAAAAAGAGGGGGATTTGGCCAAATTGGTAGACGCTACGGACTTAGTTGGATCAACTGATTGAAAGGACCAAGTATTTAACATATGTAGCAGTCACTGCTCATAGCCTGTGCAATGAATAAATAAGTGGTGGACATGATTGAATGCTCTATAACTTAACTCCTGCATTTCTGTACTCTAGGTGGGAAGGATATAGTTATGCAATTAGGGATGCTCGTTAACTTTTTCCCCCCTTAGTTTGCTTCCTTCTAGAGGGTTGAAAATAAATACAGTGGTTCATCAGCTAGTATATCATCTTCTACTTGAAAACTTCATTGATGTCAGAATGAAGTAAATATTCATTCGCTCTGCATTTTGTTCTTTTAATGATGTGCTTGAAGTGATTATTCGAATGGTCATCTCCAGAAACTAGATGATACAGCTATTATACTTCTCATATGACATTTCTAGTGTTTTGCCTTGGCTTTGTGGATTACTTGTCTCATCTATGTAGTTTCCTTATGACTACACTTCTCATTGGAGGAAGAAATGAAGTCTGTGCTTGATTTCTGCTCCCTTTTTCTAAATCTGTGTATGTAGTAGTTTACTAATTTACATTATGACCTTGTATATGTTTATGGAAAGCATAGAAGCGGCTTTAGCTCTGAATTACTACACAAAGGGTGACAGAAACGAGGGTTGTTATCATGAGCACACACTTAAAACATGGTAAATCGTTCGTTTTGCTTCCTTCTCTTATGAAACTGAGTGGCTTGTGTTCATTTTCCAGGTGTGCCCCCTCTGTGCAGCAAACCTTGGGAACGATGTCATTGGACATTTCATAGTGCAACATGCCAGCTCGTTGAAGGTAGTTTTATATCTTTGTATTTTAGGATTTGCATGCAGATTCCAACTTTAAACCAACATATAGCGGTGCCTTGCGTCTTAAAAGCTCCTTTCTATCATTAGTAAACTGAAAAACTGGAGTTTAACTCAATCGAGCATTTGGCCCTATCTTCATGTTCTGTGCAGAAAAGAAGAAAAGCTCACAGGTCTGGCCCATGGACTGGTGGTAACAACTCAGCTGTGTCTGGCAGGGCACTAAGTTCATTTGGTGGCTCGTCAACAACTAGCAGCATTGGAAACATATCCGAGTTGGCCCCTGATCTCTCGCCGTTCTTGGGCAGTGTTCCAGAGTTGGACTCAAGGAGCTGGCAGCAGCAACAGCAGGATTCATCTGAGAAACCTAGCTCTGGAACTCATTTGAAAAGGTACGAGTTTGACAGTGTCATTTTAGGATATCAAGTTTGCTGACATGACAACTGAATACTCACCCAAACGTTTGTGGGCAGCAGTGGAGGCGAGTTGTCCGTCGATGATAGGTTGGATCGTGAAGAGAGAGCTCAGAAGGCTGCGTTCATTCAGGAATTGATTGCATCGACTATCTTCTGATTCCCCCTTCTCCTGAGTCTCCCTGCTGAGGATTAGGTATTTAGGAAGCTAGTAGGGTGCGAGCGGTGTGATAGTCGAGGTCGAGTAATGGGGGATGATGGCCAGAAACATTCAAAAGATCGGCAGTGATATATCGACATGTAGCTGTATTGTTGTTTGTTATAGCATATGGCTGAGACTGATTAAGGACTGTTACCATTCCAGAAGCAGAAACAATCTTCTTCAAACTTCAATGCGCAGAAAGCAAATTAGCATGATATGATATATTTGACATCTCTCCTTGTTTGCGCTATCAAATCCATGATTTTACTGTTGTTATGTTCGGCATTCTCGGGCCATTTGGATTTTCTTGTATGGTTGCTATATATCAATCAAATTGAAGCTGAAACAAAGTGGATTGGGATGCGGATAAAGACCAATTGGGTTTGTGTGGGTTCTAATTGCCCTATTGAGTTTATGTCTGCAGTCTTTGTTGTTTTAATTTGATCTTTGAAAATGTTTGCGGACTTTTGCGTGGAAACCAAATGCAGATTTTATGATATCTTTCATTCCATTTTCGTTTCCTGTTTTCTGATCATAAATTTGACAACCGAAACAAATTTGACAACAACAAAAGAAAAACTTATTTACTTTTCATTCTGTTTTCTATTCATATCCAACTATGAAAACATAAAGTGGCTATTTCCTGTTGTTTTCGAAAACGACAAAATATTGTTTTCAACATCTGTTTTCTCGAAAACAGGAAACAGAAATGAAAAGCAGTCCGTAACTGGTTGTTCAATAATTTATCAACCCAACATAGTAGTAGGAAGTGGAGGACAAAATATCATAGTCCGCAAAGGCCTCCAAGCCAGAAAAATCAACTCGAATTAAGTTATAGTATTATACTCCAAATTCTACCTATACCTACTAATGAAACAGAACTCTAAAACAGAAGCAAAATGAAACCATTATATATACAGATTCCAAGCTTTTCCTCAACATTCAAGGCAAATTATCCCTGCAAACTCAAGAGTACATTTACGAATCACATTCATAATGAAATGGTATGCTTAATATCCGCCTAGACAAGAAACAAATCATTCTGACTTGTCATCCAACACGGTCGACTTCTATTTGCTTATCAGGCAATCCTAATTCCTAACACAATCTCAAATTGGTTATATGCCAAACAACTGAAAGGGTCACGAAGGTAAACCAAAAAGATTATCAAACAAATGTCCAGAGAAAGAGGCACAATCCGAACTTCAGCTTCTGCAGACGAACAATCAAAGACACAACAGAGGACTAGCATATAGATATACCAAAATAGATCACTGGAAGACAATTCACATTGAATCATTGCAAGAATTTCCATCTAAACTAAGCATCATTGGAAAGGTGCAAAAGAAGAACAAAGCTGCAAAAAAAAGTATATGACATGCCATTCAGTGTTCTCAAAAGTTGTTCCCGAAAATGATCAAACTGACTTGCATACAGTAGAGGACATAGGAAGGAGATCGAATTCCTCAGAGAAGAATCAAATCCAATCCATTTCGGCCCTCTTCCAAAACTAATCTTACTCAAGGATTTTCTGGATAACACCAGCTCCAACGGTCTTCCCTCCTTCTCTGATAGCAAACCTCATCCCTTGTTCACAAGCCACGGGCATAATGAGCTCCACCACCAACTTCACTCGATCGCCGGGCATAACCATCTTCGACTCCTCATCCTTATCGTTCATAATCGACGAAACCTTCCCGGTGACATCAGTGGTTCTCATGTAAAACTGCGGCCTGTAACCTGCAAAAAACGGGGAATGCCTCCCTCCCTCTTCCTTTTTCAAGACATAGACAATGGCCTCAAATTTAGTGTGGGGAGTAATGGAGCCCGGTTTAGCCAACACCATCCCTCTCTGAATATCAGCCTTCTGCACACCTCTAAGCAACAACCCTACATTGTCCCCAGCCAGGGCCTCATCCAAAATCTTCTGGAACATCTCAACTCCAGTAACAGTGAAATTCCTAGTATCTTTCAAACCCACAAGGTCAACTGTCTCGCCAACCTTAACCGTTCCTCTTTCAACCCTGCCAGTGGCCACAGTGCCACGACCTGTGATGGAGAACACATCTTCCACAGCAAGCAAGAATGGCAGTTCAGTCTGCCGCTGTGGGATTGGAATGTACTCATCCACAGAATCCATCAGCTGATAGATTTTATCAACCCATTCGTTGTCCCCTCGCTTAATGGCCGGATTGGCCATCAAAGCTTCCAAGGCCAAAAGGGCCGAACCAGAGATAATTGGGATATCATCACCAGGAAATTCATAAGAAGACAACAGCTCACGAACCTCCAATTCGACCAATTGCAGCAGCTCCTCGTCATCCACCTGGTCCTGCTTGTTCAAGAACACCACCATGTTGGGAACCCCGACCTGCTTGGCGAGCAAGATGTGCTCCTTGGTCTGGGGCATGGGCCCGTCGGCGCCGGAGCAGACGAGGATGGCCCCGTCCATCTGCGCAGCGCCGGTGATCATGTTCTTGACGTAATCGGCGTGGCCGGGGCAGTCGACGTGGGCGTAGTGGCGGTTCTCGGTCTCGTACTCGACGGTGGCGGTGTTGATGGTGATGCCGCGGGCTCTCTCCTCGGGTGCGGCGTCGATCTCGTCGTACTTCTTGGGCGCGCTGTTGCCCATGGAGGCGAGGGCCATGGTTAGGGCGGCGGTGAGGGTTGTCTTGCCGTGGTCGACATGGCCAATTGTGCCGATGTTGAGGTGGGGCTTCTTCCGCTCGAACTTTCCCCTCGCTGCTCGGACTGTGAAGGAGGCTTCGCCGCGGTGGCGGGGGACGGAGGTGGTGGTGGTGGGTAGGAAAGGGGAGATGAAGGAGGAAGAGAGGAGGGTCAATTTGGTAGGTTTCGAGGCGAAGTTGAAAGTAGCGGCCGGAGAGGAGGGGGAAGCGGCGGCTGGTGAGTAGACGGCAGCTAGCCTTGAGGAAGAGGAAGCTGTGGCGGAGGCGGAGATTGCCATGGCGGAGGCGGAGGCGGAGCAGAGAAGAAAGGAAATACAGAGAGTTTTTGGGAGGGGATTGGGTTTGTTATCTGATTGGGGATTGGGGCGTTTGTATCCACTCCACTCCTTTTAGACTTGAGTTTACTAGACGCCCTCTCGAGTTACTACTGAACGCCGTTTTTTTAGTTGGGGAACGAGAAGATAAATTGGGATGCGGTACGAGTCCGGTTTATGAAAGTTGCGATTTAATTGTGAAAAATATTTTAGAATTAAGAATTGGGCTAATAGTGTATTTTATCTTATTTGATCTGGTTCAAATATTAGTTCAATCTTTTTTCAATATTTATAATATTTATGGGACTATGTGATCACATTATATCAATTTGGTATGGTCAAAATGTAGTTTGGTCTATTGCGGTTCAATATGGACCAAACTGTTGCACACTCCTAGATGCAAGGTGTCGCCCTATATACCATAACAACCAGGTAATATGATGCATCTGTCCCCCCAACCCCCCACCCCCACGGCCCCACAAAAAAAAAATACTCGTATTATCATGAAAACAGCCAACAGCCAGATACATGAAAGTCACATGACAAATATAATCAAGACGTAAAATCGAACCCAACAATGGAAGGGAACAGAAAAAAGAGGTTTTTCTTGCCACCAAATGAGCAACCCTTTTACAACGACGACTCACAAATTGAACTTCAAATTGTTCAAACTCATTAACCAACTCCAGAATATCCTCCGATATCGCACCTTGCTACCATTATAATTAGGACTATTCGAGACTTCACTAGGATCAGTTATGGCATTAAAATCTCCTAGTATAGCCACTAATGCACCTTAACCCTGATAAGATCTTTATAGAATTGCCTCCTTCCTGCTTCCTTGTTAGAAGCATATACAAATGAGACAAAGAGAATTTCGTCGAATCTAGAGGAAGTTTTTGAGAGAGAGATTCTTCTCTGCCCTCTCTCCTCCAACGGTTGTTTTCATGGCAAGCTTGGAACCATTGGCAGAGGAAATCTGCCACAACTTGAAGCCTCCTGATGGATCCCCTGCGAAGACACCCATCCAACCCAGCAAAAAGTCAAAATGTTCGAGCAATGGGGGATTTTCGGGTGAAGGAACGGCTCAATTCGCCGTCGTCACCGCAAGAGAGAACTCTGCCCAGATTGAAGATGCGGAAATGGAAACGGAGAATATGGAGAAGATGAACCATGAGCCACGATCTGAAGCTAACAATTTCAATGCTTCCCCCCGAGCCTCCTATAAGGACTCCGTGCTGGGGAACTCACCGATGCCGGAAATCCCTAATGGGGAGGACCTCATGTCCGATGAATCAGAGGGAGAGGATGGCGACGATGACCCGGACTGCCCTACGATCCGGGTGAAGAAAAAGACCGATGCGAGGATCCGGTACAGATGGCAGCGAGCGATCACCTTCAAAGTGCTGGGGAAGAACTTCTCTTTCCCCTACATCCACAGGCGAGTGCGAAACTTGTGGGCAAGAACGGGAGGGGTGAAGATTGGGGATATTGGCAACGGCTTCTACCAGGCAATCTTTGATACCCAACTCGATCATGATCGAGCCCTTTATGAGGACCCTGGACGATAGATGACCACTACATCGTCTCAGAGCCTTGGCGGTTGGACTTCGACCCAGACTTCGACACTATCAACAGTATGAGTGTTTGGGTAAGACTCCCTAGACTCCCTCTGGCTTACTTCGATGAAGGCATCTTAACTGATATTGGTAACAAGCTGGGTAGGCTGGAAAAGATTGATTACAACACAGAGAATGGGGTTAGAGGAAACTATGCCAGGCTATGTGTGGAAATTGATTTACGAAAGAGGCTTGTCCCCAAATACAGACTGAAGCGGCGTGTGCGACTAGTTGAGTATGAGGGGCTCCATGAAATTTTCTTTGAGTGTGGAAAGTATGGACACTTCTTGGATGCCTGTCCAGAAAAAATGCCAGCAGCAGCTAATGACCCAAGTGTGCACACAAGTGGGGGAAAAGAAACACATCAGGCAGCGGAAATGATCAACATCAAGCCTGAACTTCTTGAAGACTTCGGACCTTGGATGATGGTGTCTCGACCAGCACGAAGACCAATTCAGAAGAGTAAGAAGGCCGAGCAAGCTTCTTTTGTGAAGACTAGGGGCAACCAGAAAGAGACACAAAGGGAAGGGTCCAGATTCAGTGTCCTTAACGGAGCGATGGAGGAAAGCCAGGAACCGGAAAAGGGACAACAGACACAACCAAAGCAGTTAAAATCAGGATTTTACCTAAAATCGAAAACTGGGGTAAAATCGGAATCGTAAAATCGAATCGTAGAATCGTAGGATTTTAAGTACCATATAGAAATTAACATATAATAATATTAATAAGGTAAATAATTAATAACACAAAGACTTATAACATTTAAAGTGATAATTTTCAAGATTAATATTCCAAAATCATCATTTTTATTGTTATTTAATGCGTAACTCAAAATAATTTATGAGGAAGGGATATAGCTCATGGGGTTTGGCTCTTGTTTTTCAGGTTGTGTCTAGGTAGTTTAACTCAAAGTAGTATTCCGACATCGTCTACTAAGCATGATTTAAAACTAAGAATAACTGAAATCCAATAAAATAATTAATGTCATTGGTTTGGTACAAATATATTCATTAATTAAATACTTTTTTTATAATGATGTTAATTCTTACGCAATTACAATATTCTGACAATTGTTTTACCGATGAGTTAAACAAGGAGAAGGGAAAGGGGTTGACCGAACCCTAATTAGTTTTTCTTCTTCTTTTCAAATGTTCTTTTAATAGGAAAAATATATGAGAAGATCCCCGTCATTAACCTTTCCACCGAAACAGTTCTGCTTCTTTTGAATTGGCTCAAGCTCCCTATTTAGTTCACATAGGATCAAAATCCCGATTTTGGTACGATTCTACGATTTTAACGATTTTAATCCCGATTTTGAACGATTTTAAGGTCCACCGATTTTATAGTAAAATCAGGATCGGAATCCCTAAGTAAAATCCTAAAATCCTACGATTTTACGATCAAAATCCCGATTTTGACTGCATTGGACACAACAACAGAGCAAGGAGAACGTGATGGAGAAAGTACCAGAGAATTTGAGTGGGGAAAATGCTACAAGTAAAAAGGAAATATCTACCAAGGAAAATGAGGAGGAAAAGACCAAGAACACAACAGAGAAAACCATGAAGACCAAAACTCAGGGCAAGAAGGAAAACCAGAAGACTCCGGGGGCTAACCAAAGGCAGAAGACTAAGCCTGCAACCGTTCCCCTGGTGACGAAGCCTAAACCCAAGATGAATGAACAAAGTCAAAGTGCGAGTAGAAACTCACCAACTGTTAAGGGGGAAGGGGCTAATCCCAAAGGAAAGGAGATAATGGGGATCAAGAACCAGGGGCACAAACCACACTACCTCAAAGGTGTGACCATGGGGAAGGAGAAACCAATATCCCCAACCCTTGTTTCAAACCCGAACAGACAGGAGAAAGAGAGTGTGAAAGAAGCCAAAAGCAAACCCCCTGATCCAGGGGAGTTACCTCCTAGGAAGCTAGACTTCGATGTTGGCATGGAGGATGCTTTACAAGGATCATAAAATATCCCACCCTTGGATACTCACAAAGGAGGAGCTGACATGGGAGCAGAGGAGACGGCGATGGCCGTCGACACTGCCTGAATATCCCCCTGGCTTTCTGCAGGGAAACCACGCTTGTCATTTTCCAATGATTAAGGTATTTTCCTGGAACTGCAGAGGGGCGAGACACCCCAAATTTAGGTCATCTTTTGAGTTCTACAAGAGTCAGTACAAACCGAATGTGGTATGTATTGTTGAGCCTAGAATCAGCGGTGTTGACGCCATTGATGTCATCAAGACCCTAGGCTTTGATTCATGGAAAGTTTCTGATGCAAGGGGATATAGTGGGGGAATATGGATCCTCTACGACAGTACCTCTACCAAGGTTACTAATGTTGACATACATAACCAATTCATCCACTTCAAGTGTAGTATGGAAGGTGTCCCAAAATGCTACATGACTGCAGTTTATGCCAGCCCGAATGAGTTTGAGAGAACGAAGCTCTGGGATGCACTCTGCAACATCAGCAGGCAAACCAGACTGCCTTGGTTGTTGTTTGGAGACTTTAACTCCATAACCAAACCCTCTGAGAAGCAAGGAGGAGCTAGATTCAATCCAGCAAAGGTGAAAGCCTTCAACAGCTGCATTGAAGACTGTGGCCTCCTTGGCTTAGGGTCCACAGGCCCTAGCTTTACTTGGTTTACAAGCAAGTCAAAAATCAAAGAAAGACTGGATCGGAGTCTCTGTAATGTGGCTTGGCAGCAAAGTTTCCGGGAAACAACAACCTACCACCTCACAAAGATCAGATCAGACCATAGACCTATCCTCACCTGCAGTGATGGACCGGTGGACAAGAGCAATTTGGTGAGAAGATTCCAATTCTTGGCCTCATGGCTTAGCCATGAGGAGTTTAAACCTTTTGTCTCTGTTTCTTGGAACGAGAACGACTTTGACTTTCTTCCTTCCCTGCAGGTCCTTACTGAGAAGCTTAAAGAGTGGAACAAAGAGGTCTTCGGAAACATCTTCAAAAGGAAGAAAGCTTTGGCTAACAAGCTTAACTCCCTGGAATGGAAAAACGAAAGGAATCCCACCAACCATTCCCTTCTTGCTGAGCAAAGAATAAGGGAGGAGTTGGAAGAAACCCTGTGGCAATAAGAAGTTCTGTGGCTGCAAAAATCTAGGGCAACTTGGATCGGTCAAGGAGATCAGAACACTAGGTTCTTCCACACGAGCACAATAACTAGAAGGAAAAGGAACAAGATCAAAGGTTTGAAGAATGATGCAAACCAATGGATCACTGACCCTGAGGTACTCCAGATGATGGCTAGGGAATATTTTGTGAAGCTGTACACAAGGGAAGAAGGGGAGGAGAAGCCATCCATTGCAGCTGACTTCCCTGAAGTGAACGAGGCGCTTCTTAATGGCCTTGCAAGACCTCCCATCCTGCTTGAAGTGAAGCAAATTGTGTCTAAGATGGGAGGACTGAAGGCACCAGGCAAAGATGGCTTCCATGCCATCTTCTACCAAAAGTGATGGGATGTTGTTGGCCCTGATTTCAGCATGTTCATTGCCTTCTGCTTCATTAACCCTGAACGTATCAAGAGCATCAATGAAACCCTCATGGCCCTGATCCCGAAAGTGGAGGCCCTTGCTCTATGAATCAGTTTCGCCCCATTAGCATTTGTAACGTGTCTTACAAAGTGGTGGCCAAGTGCCTTGCTGACAGGATTAAGCTTCTCATGCCCCAACTTGTGAAATCCAATCAGTCAAGTTTCGTTCCTAACAGACATATCTCTGACAATATCCTAATTTTGCAGGAGACTGTTCACTCAATGTCCAAGAGAACGGGGAAGAAAGGCGCTATGTTGCTCAAGATAGACCTTGCTAAAGCTTACGATAGGCTTGACTGGAGGTTTCTTGAAGAAACACTTCATGCGGCCAAGATTCCAAATGATGGAATCAGACTTATCATGAGCTGTGTCACCACCACAGAACTGCAAGTTCTCTGGAATGGAGGAGAGATAGACAAGTTCATACCCAACAGAGGCTTAAGACAGGGATGTCCGCTATCACCCTATCTCTTTACTCTTTGCATTGAACGATTAGGCCATTGCATTCTTAGGTAGGTTAGGAATGGTAGATGGAAACCCCTGAAGCTATCCTGTAAAGGACCTGAACTTTCCTACCTTTTCTTTGCGGATGACCTTGTCATCTTTGCTGAAGCTAGCCTCAGACAAGCTGAGGTGGTCATGGAATGCATTGAGCAGTTCTGTGAGGCTTCGGGTGAGCTCATAAGCAAAGAAAAGTCTCGGGTGCTGTTCTCTAAGAATGTGAAAACCTTTGATAGAACTTGCATTTGTAACCGCCTTGGTATCCAGAGTACCAATGACCTAGGGAAATACCTTGGAGTTCCTGTTTTATACGGTAGAGTCACTAGAAATACCTACAGATACATTCTTGAAACTATTGACTCTAAACTGAGCTCTTGGAAATCTAGAACCCTCTCCTTGGCAGGGAGAGCCACCCTTGCCATTTCTGTTTTGAATGCTATTCCGATTTATGCCATGCAAACATCTTTTCTTCCTATGTCTGTTTGTGATGAAATCGATAAGAAGATTAGGGGTTTCGTGTGGGGTTCTCATGCTGGCAAAAGAAAAACCCACCTTGTCAAGTGGGAGAACCTTTGTAAACCGAAGGACCAGGGGGGCTTGGGTATAAGATCTGCCAGAAGCCTCAACATGGCTTTTATGGTCAAGTTGGCCTGGCAGATTTTGAATAATGAGAATTCCTTATGGGTCCAGGTTTTTCAGGGAAAATACTTCAAGTATAGGGATGGGAAGATCACCTCAATGAAGAAGAGTAATCACTCACCACTCTGGAAGGCGACCCTCAAAGCTATGCCATTGATGAAGTCTGCTACGTGTTGGAGCATCAGAAATGGACGAAGCACTAGCTTTTGGACACAACCGTGGTTGGAGGCAGGGCTGGTCCTGGAAGATTTCCTTCTCGTGGATATTCCAGAACATGAAAGGGAAGAACCCGTCTGTAATTGGGCTACGAGTTCGGGAGAATGGGATTGGGAAAAGCTTGCTGGCAAGCTACCTAACGATATACTTTCTCTTATTGCAGGTACCCCAACCCCTAAGCCTGACCTGGGTGAGGATAGGGATGACAATTTTGCCCATACCCATGGGTATTTTACTATCCAACCCAATTGGGTTGGGTATGAAATCCAAATATATGGATATGGGTAAAGTTTGATGGGTTTGTACCCATACCCATTTACTTTGGGTTGGGTTGGGTTTATAACAAATGGATTTGGGTTTGTACCCATGCCCAAATACAAATTACAGTTTGGTACCTAAACTTAATAGATATGCATATTTAGTACCTAATTTTTTTTTGCATATAAGTCCTCAAAATATTGATGGAAAATTACGTTTTGGTACCTATTTTTCGGTCTTACATTTTGGTACCTAAATTTTTCAAGTTTTACAAATAAGTCCAATTTTTGTATGTGTAGTTAAAACACCCTCAAGTAAATGGATATCCATATCCAACCCATACCCATTTAGATAATATCCATATCTAACCCAAATCCATATACAAACCCCAAACTCATACACACATCACCCAAACCCTACCCATAATAAATGGGTCTACTTGGGTTTGGGCAAAATTACCCATGGGTGGGTAAATTGCCATCCCTAGGTGAGGATACTACGATTTGGGGCATCGAACCTGATGGGCGATTTCGTCTCAAATCCGCGTATTACCTGGTGGCGAACGAGCTGGAGCAGGAGCAGGAGCATGAAGGGGACTGGAAGCAACTCTGGAGGTGGAAAGGCCCCAACAGAATCAAGTTCTTCCTTTGGCTGACACTACATGGGAGATTGCTGACGAATCAAGAGAGAGTGAGAAGGAAGCTTACAACTGACGGAAAGTGCCCACACACTGCTTGTAATGGCGAGGAAGAATCAGTCGAACACGTCCTACGTAAGTGCAAGAAGACGGAGAACTTATGGAGAATGCTTAGACACTCTGTCGCTGAACAAAGCCAGTCCACCCCCTTCAAGCAGTGGCTGGTCAGGAATATCAAATGCAAGGAGAAGGGTATTGATTTTGGCATCATCCTTTGGCAGATTTGGAAACAGAGAAATGGAGAAGCAATGGAGAAGAAAGCTTTCAACGAGCAGAGCCTCCTGCACAGGATTCTTACTTATTTTAACATTGTTCGACAATCACAAGTCCTGAACAATAAGATTTGCAGTGAGGAGCCCGTTAGGAAGGAGACTCAGAGTCTGGGATGGACTCCCCCACAGGAGGGATGGGTGAAGATCAACACTGACGGGTCTGTGTTTGCAGGAGACAAAGCTGCAGCAGGAGGCCTCATCAGAGATCCTTTAGGTCGTTGCCTTGAGGCCTTTGCAATCAACCTGGGCTCCTGTTCAATCACGGGAGCAGAATTAAAAGCAGTGGAAGCGGGGCTCTCTGCAGCATGGCGAAGGGGATTCCGGCGTGTTATCCTCTGCCTGGATTCTACTACGGCAATCAATATCATTCAAAATGTGCAGGATACTGAGCATAGACACGGCATTCTTGCCCTGGAAATCAATCGTCTGCTTTCTTTGAACTGGGAAGTCTCTATCTCCCACACCTATAGAGAGTGCAATTTTGCTGCTGACTTTCTAGCCAAGAAAGGGCATAGTCTGCATTTTGTTGACTCAAATGACCCAGGACTTCGGTACTGGTTATTGCATGATGTAATGGGTTTGTCCCAAGAACGTTCTGTTGTTTGTAGTGCTTAGACACCATTGGTGTCTGTTTTGTTACCAAAAAAAAAAAATGAGACAAAGAGAGGAATTCCTGAACTCTTATATCGAAATGAACCGGCACAAACCAATTGTACCACCAATTGTACCATTTCACTTGCTAAACCGACCCAACGACATAAATTGGTTTGAGAAACCTTGTGAATGACTCAATTAGAAGTACTAGGAAGCTCTAATAAAAGACACTTTAACAACCTGTGGGGTTTCTGCAAGGTTTAGGGAGTTTTCCTTGAGTTAAATGAAAGAAGAGGAAGATGCATGAGAGTGTTGAAATAAAATATTCTAAGGATGAGTGTTTCTATCACAAATTTACTAAACATTTACAACTTTGCTTATGGAACACCAACAGATTATATCGAACTTATTCAAAATTGAACAAATTTATTGATATTTTCGGGGCAAAACTTTAAATTACAAGCTAGCAAAATTTAGCATTGGCATATGCCAAAATAATATTATTTGACTATTGATTCTAACACAACAAACATAAATATATGTGTGACTATGACTTATTCATATGATAATAGTGTTATATTTTTTATATATAATGTATTTAGAATCCAATTAAATGACTTATCTTATACGTATTGTACAATGTTTATGAAATATTAGCAAAGATTAAAAATTATATTATCTTTTCATATTTCCACATAAGTTCGATACAAATTAATTTATCGGTATTTGAATTGCCGGAGTGTTACTTAAATGATGATACATGTTGCATCATCCAAGGCAAGGGCCTCTATACAAGTAAGAAAATTCATATAAAATCAATTCAAGTTGAGATTCACCTCCAAGGCGAAAAAAGGGTAAAGTATATTTCCATTTCACTCGTAAAAAAAACGCGAAGAAAACCAACAATTTGTACATTTCATACCCATGTATGTGTCACATAGGAAAACAAAATTGAGAAAAATTTAAACCTTATATACAAGTATACAATTAGCCAAAATTACTTACAAGAAAAAAACAAGAGATAAAGAAACTGTTGCTACAAACTTTGACAATCTTTCACCCTAGCATTGTACTATGTAAAATATTAATTGTAATGCTGCTTCCACTTTTTTGTGTGAGCCAAGAATCACAATAAATACTACACATCCTTCTACTCCTCTACATAATTGACTCTCAAGCCTAATAATCTTGAGCAAATACCATTCCATTAAAATTATGCATAAACTTCCATATTTTGCCAAATGATTGCTAGAGGTCCAATGATGTTCACAAGCCATCAACCCCTCCATTATCCTTTTAGAATCATCATCCATTGTGAGGAAGTCTCCTTGAAAGCATCAAGCTAGTCCAGTCACATCCACCATCTAGTTGTTGCAGAATGCTAGACAGACCACTTCTACAATTAAATTCCTCACATGTTATTGCTCCTAGGAATCCTTGATTTAGGTAGTTCTAAGGTACAAGTACTCAATATATCCCTACGAATTCCAGGAGAGAGTTCACTTAAGAAGTCTAAAATGGCTACTTCGTGTTTTCTCTTTAGTTCATCCAATTCCTCATGTTGTTTTTGCAACAAATGCTTAAAATTTTCATCCACTACCTTAACATCTAATTCAACTGTAGTTGCAATCCCAGTAGAATCTGAATCTTTATGTTCGTTATCATCATTTGCAGTTGTCCCAACAACCAATATTTCAGGTGAATCAACACCACTATCATGATGGTCAAGTTCATGAATCGAGTGAGAATCTTCATGATCTGCTAAACGAGATGGTCCAGACCTTTTTGGAGAGCTTAGTCCGACTCCCTTAGGAGAGTCTGACCAATATTTCCTCCCCGAAGGCAATATTTCCAACGCAAGGGCACTTGATGAGCAAGTTGATTCATTAGAAAAGGGAGAGCCTTCATCCTTATTTTCATCATCTTTGGTCTCATTATCAAATGTCTCTGCATCTATAGTGTTTCCACCCTCATCATTCGGCTCAGATGCCCAGTTTGGAATATGAGATCGAATTTCTGTATCAATCATTTCAGCAATCATCGATACATCTTGATCAGTTAAGTCCAACTCCTCAACCATTTCACTTGCAACAGCAAGTGCCGTATCCACTTCAATATCAAAAGGGAAATGGATATTGCGAAAATGACCTGAAAAGAATTAGGGATATTAATTTTTCAAATATATTTGTTAATAAATTGTACAAAATAAAAAAAAATGTCCAAAAAACTATCTCTTGTGGGAAGGGGCGAGAGAGAACCTGTAGAGTCTGCAATTCGTAACTTCAAGAATATTGTATTTACATCTTTCCTCTGGCCTTGTACAATGAAGTCTCTAGTGTGATCACTTGAACAATCTCCTCCAATTCTTAAAAAATTGGTTTGATCAATGCTTCCACTCCCAGATTCTTGTAAATGGAAAACAACAATATCACATTTATTTTATTAAAACATGAAGGACTCATTTCACCAACAAGTTCATCAAAAAACAAGTTCATCTATCAGCCCACTACCAAAAGCTTGACAGCATATGAAAATAACATTAAGGTTGAATGCCACTTTAATCACATTGATTTGCAAAGGAATGCATGAATGTATTTATTTCTTATACTACTTCAGTAGTATTTCTTCAAGTTTCTCCAACATTGACTTTATGAGAAACCATGATGTTGGGTTTCTTTTATTTTATTTTCTATTTCTACCATAAATTTTAAATTTTCAACATTCATCTAAGTGGCGAATGAAAATAAATTATTGCTTAAGTCCTCCATGTTACCATCGACTACATGAATGATGTAATTGTAATTCTATTGCGCAACATGAATCATATTCTCACAACTCGTTAACAAACTAAGAATAATTCCAGATGATGATTTCTCCTCACATGACAAAAGCACAACCTAACGAGAAAGTTTTTACTACCATTTCAGTTCATTCACGACTGTACCATATTTGAAGGCTTAAGTAGTCAAACGCATCGAAGAAATATTAGAGAGAAAGATACAAAAAATGAAAAGAGAAATAAAACATTGCATAAACCTTGCACATATTATATTAAGAGGTTGGTGAAAGTACCAGATAAATGGGTAGCATTTGATTGTATACAATGAGCTACAGATTCACTTTCTTCATCTGATCGGAGAAACGGATCAATTAAGAGTTCTCTTGCAGATAATCGATCAGCGACACTTGCTATGCACTTTTGAATAAATGCTTTCACACTCTGATCTTGTACCTTTGCTAATGATGCTGGTTTTATACCCTAAAAGCAACCAAAATAGTAGTTTCAATTACAACACTAATGAAAGGCCCCAAAGTCAAAGATAACGCTTATGGATTCTATCCATGCACTTGTTTTAGTTTCAAACCTTATAGATCCTACAATTGGTATGACAAAGAAAAACTACAATTTTTTTATTAAACGACAGGGAAAAAACTGATGTACTTAACTAAATTTTGTTATGTAAATAAATCAGAAATTCACATAAAGCATACAAATCAACCCTTACCGATGTCACTTTCTTATATATTTGAGCAGCATTTGAACATTCTACATATGGATACTCAAAGGTGACTAGCTCCAACAAGCACATGCCAAACGCATAGATGTCGACAAGCTCATTGTATTCCTCCTCATACAACTCAGGTGCCATGAACTCAGGTGTACCTAAAACCAAACAAGTAATGAGGTTTATGATTATCAACAACCATTATCTCACATTCTTAGAACACATAAAAACGCAAACGATGGTCCTAACCAATGACGCTATGAGCTGCTCGAGCCTGCTGAAGAATAGCAGCCAAACCCAAGTCCCCTATCTTCACTTCACCTTGGTTTCCATTAACAAAAATGTTGTCACACTTCAAATCTCTATGGATAACTGGTGGGTCATGACTGTGTAGATACAGAAGTCCTTCTAAAATTTGTCTGGACCATTTCTTCAAGGCTCTTATATCAACGTGCTTATGTTTCTTGCGGTACCTAGCTGGCCAGATCCAAATCACAGCTAAGTTAAATCAAAACTACAATCCACATCCTTAGATTCTATAAGTGGGAAGGATCAGGGAGCTTACTGCCGCAAAGTCCCAGAAGTGAAAATCTCTGTGATGAAGTTGATGTTCTCATTTTTCGTATCAACCCATGAATTGTAAAACTTGATGATGTTCTTATGCTTTAATGTCTTGAGCAAGTGAACTTCAGAATACAAACGCTCCAAATCCACGGAGTTACGCAACAAATCTGCCACCTTCACCTGATTCCAAGCTACCTCTATACCTTCCAATTCATCAAACGCTCTGTATCTGATTTCTCCCCCAAGAGTTTAGTTAAGGCATCAAATATCATGAAGCCATAATGTAAGCCATAGCCAACAATAATTTGAATATAAGTTATTAAATAAAGCTATGACAACGATTAACTAACAAAAAGGATACACTTTTTTGCAAGCACCTTTTCCTAGAATCTCTTTGTACTGCCAACACGAAAGAAACAAGTGAAATGATTATTGACAATACATAAATACACAATGACATAAGATTGAAAGGGATCTAACATTGGGTTGCAAATTAGGAAGAAATCATAACCAATCAGGATGATAAAACATTTGAAAGGGTAATTGAGAAAGGGAGGAATGCATACGAACCCGACCATAACGACCAGTGGGATCGACTTCGACGAAATCAACATCAGAATCTTCAAGTTCTTGCTCAGATGACGATTCTTGTGTCATCCTCTAGGCCTGAGGGCTCTATACACGAGCCAAATTACTACAGGCCGATCAATATCTGAACAACAATTACAATGGTAATGAGAAATCGATATGAGACGATTTCGTAAAACAAAATTTCCAAACAACGTCGTAGAAATGAGAAATCAAAAATGGGGTTGGGATTTAGAAGATGATAGATGGATCAAAGAAGGAAGGAAAAAAGGGGAGAGAAAGCAGGAGAAACGAGGTGAGACAGGAAAAGGTAAAAGCAAAAATGTGATAATGAGAAAGGACATTATTGGGTATCTTGTTTCTTGACTGAGCACAAAAAGAAGAAATATTAATTTATTCATCGAAGGGCAACATGAATGCTCAATCAATAGAATTTGAAGCTGGATTTGGAGGTCCTTAGAGTTTTGAATTTTGATTAATAGCAATAGGTCCTAAAACTACTTTGTTTTGGTCATCTCAATCCCTAGACTTATTTTATGGGTGAATTAAGTTTCTAAACTAATACTTGTGGATCTATCAATTACCAAAGCTCTTATAGATGGATTCAACAACGTTGGATACAAGTGGTTCACACGTGGCAATATTATTGGTAGATATGACTTAAAATAATATTTAATGAAAACAAAAATACTCAACTCTCATTATCAAAATGATCTTTTGTACCATTAATTATATTTCCATTTCAGATGTTTGAGGTTTAAAATTCATGTTGTTTTTTAGTTTCAGAAGCTTAAATATAGTTTATAATTGAAGTCTTTGTACCGTAATGATTTAACGACTAAATTGATCACTCAAACGATAATCTTTGATCATTATTATGTATACGTGATAATTAAAAAATTAAAAAATTGATTATTTTAATTTTCCATCTCATCACTCTCACACAAACACCACTGCCAAAGAAGTACTCATCAAAGCAGTTGGGACAGCAACTCCCATCTTTGTGATGTCCTGTTTTAGACTCACTTCCGATTTGTGTAGAAGGATGAAAGGACAACTCTCCACCTTTTGGTGGGCAGGCCAAGACAAAGAAAAAGGTATACATTGGTTATCATGGTCTGAATGTTGTTTCAGCAAATTTGAAGGAGGATTGAGATTTAGAGACTTTGATAGGTTCAATGTAGCAATGCTAGCCAAGCAAGCCTGGAGACTTATCTGTGAACCGGAGTGTACTCTTGCCAGATTGTACAAGGCAAGATATCATTTCACTGATCATTTCCTCCTAGCCCGTCAGGGGGCACGCCCCTCTTGGGCTTGGCAAGGTATCTTGCAGGGTAGAGATCTTCTGAATAAAGGTCTTCGCTGGCAAGTAGGATCAGGAACTAAGATAAACACCTTACTCGACCCTTGGCTACCAACAGACCCTCCTTCTAGCCCTGTGTTGTTAATTGGCGCCTCTCTAGATCACCCAATGGTCTCATTTCTTCTGGATTCTAATGCTATAGAGTGGAATCTAGACTTGCTTACAACCATATTTCCCCTGTCACGATCGACAAAATCTTATCCATCCCTCTCCCATCGTCCCTCCAAGAAGATAAATTGATTTGGCATTATGACAAGTCTGGTCACTATACAGTTAAATCGGGGTACCACCTTCTTTCGGATGGTTTAAATTCACCCAGAAACTCCCTGCCAGATTTTTTGAACACCAAGTTCTGAAAATTCTTGTGGAATATTCCAATGCCTCCTAAGCTCAAATTCTTTCTTTGGAGATTGGTGCATGGTTTTTTACCAGTTAAATGAACCCTCCTTTATAAGAAAATTATTTCATCAGGTCTATGTCCTGTTTGCTGCGAGGTAAATGAAGACTTCAAACACTGCTTCTTCGACTGTAGAATCACTAGAGAACTGTGGACATTATCTGACCTTGACCATATAAGAGATATGATGAGGGCAAGTTCTATGGACCTTGCGTGGAGAAACCTCTTTTTCATGCCTCATATCTCCAAGAATGATGTAGCTTTCATTGTCTTCTTATTTTGGAGAATATGGAAAGGTCGATGCAAAGCTACTTATGGACACGTTTTATACAGGTCACATGTTCTATACAGGCAACTATTAGCGCAGGTGGAGGAATGGAGAATGGCAGAGGCACAGAAGGTTCAGAGATCCGAAGAAGTCCGAAGGTCAATGCCCCACTCTTCCACAGGCCAAGGCCCCCATTCAAGGAGAACAGATGTTTCTTTCCCTAATGAAGGTATCCTAGTTCGTTTTGACGGGGCAACAAAAATACCTCAATGAAGTGCAACTGGCTTTGTCGGCTTTTCAGGTGATGGAATTATCACTTTTGCAGTTGGTAAATTCTATCAGGGCATCTCAGAAGCCTATATATCAGAATTACTTGCTATTCGTGATGCTATGAAATGGTGTCTCACCCACAATTTTTTGACTGTTGTTTTTTGTGGGGACTCTCAATTGGTCATCAAGGATGTGACATCAAAGAAGGCTTCACATTCAAGAGCGGGAGCTATATTAGAGGAAGTTCACTCTCTCCTTTCCTCCTTCCTATCTGTCTCGTGTCTTTTTGCTCCTCGGAGCTTCAACAGAGCTGGCCACCTCGTGGCAAAACAGGCTCTTTTATCGGGAGTCCGGTTGCATACAGACTACTGTTCTCTTTTAGTGTCTTTCTTGTAATTGTGTTGACCGGCCATGCCCTGGGGACTTATCTTGGATAAAAAAAAACACCACTACCACCATCACTGTCATCTACAAGCTTCATCATCGATGTCGCAACCGCCGCAGTCCTTACCTATGTAGCCTTCCTCCATAGTCTTAATCCATCTCCCTCGCTCTCAAGTGGCTCTACCATTCCCTCTCAACGAAGGATGTCACTTTCATCATCTGCCTAGCCTCCATCCACACACATATTCTACACTTCGGTTTCATGTCCATTGATGTCGTCGTCCCGCCTTCCAACCCTTTGAGTTTTGAGTAAGGACTCGCTCACCAAATCAAACTCACTAAATCGAAAATTGCCTTGGCTACTTCTCAATCAACCGCAAAGTTTGCTTCTTCTTGTTCTCCCCTTCCCTTCGCCAACATTATCATCGACTCCCACAATTCCTCTTAGTATTGATTGAATCCTCAATATTTGTTGTTGATTAATGATGGAGAAAGTGAAGAGAGTGAGATTGAGCCTTCAGAAAATGATTGCACTAACCTCGGGATACTACTACAGACAGCCTCAGTATATGATGAAACGGCCAACCCAACCTTATCAATGTTTGTTCTATTAAACTTTACTTTTCTATAACCTTATCACTAAATCTCTTTTTTCATTTATTTCCCAGGTATCCTCTAGACCTCCACAACTTGAGGTGCAATCATTAAAATTGCATTATTGCTTTATCCATCGTAAGTGCCACTTCCAATAGTAATTAATTCCTAACAAAGAAATTCTTAAAATGCAATCTAGCTCTGTTACTTTCTATTTGGACTGCAATTTCCTCCATATGCAACAGTTGAAACGGGACGATGAACATGTTTGTTGTATTGAAACTATTTAGGGAAACTATTGAAGTTGCTGAGAGGTTGGATTTCGGGTAATTGGGTTGCTCGATCACGCATTTTGGACTTATTTTCGTATAAAAAAAACTTGTACAACACAAATTTATTACAATGCTCACTAATTAATACTTCAAAAAATAATATTGAATATAGAAACCAACAACCTTTTTTTCTAGCAACCAGCCAAATGAATAAAAGATAGGAAGGATTCGACAAATTAAGACTTCAATCTCTATATATGACTCTATTTGGTTCTTCTTTCTTCTTCTTACTAACCACAACACTCCGGATAAGTTTCCCACTTCTTTTTCCCCCCTCACTCCGTGAACTATGAAAATCTACACAAACTAATTCGAGAAGGAGAAAAGAAAAGGGCGTTGGTAAGTTGTAAACTTCCCAACTTCATTACTTTCCTCCAAAGCCAAACCATTTCGAGAGGAAAGACTTGTTCTTTCCGCGGGAGGAATCATTAGGCTGTTGTGCTGGTGCTGGCTTTGGAGCTTGTTTAGCTGCAGAAAGAACGTAAAAACATAAGATTTTCTGCAAATTCATCAACTTTATTTTGACAATTAGGAACCTCTCATCGAAAACCAAGGTAGATTTCGAGGCACATACCTGTTCTTGTTGTATCCCCTTTGGTCTTGGTGTTGGATTCATTTTGGCTGGAATTGCTTGAAGTCTTCTCTGTTCTTCCACCTGCATTATTGTTTCAAACTGTCACTACTCAACTACAAGAAGCACAGGAATTTCATCTGTTCACTCTTCTTATTCTAGCTGTTAGCATCATCATCATTATGATCACGGATAGTGTCTTACTCTCGCTGCTCGGGGGCTTCCCATAGCTATGCCGGAAAGCTTCGAAAAGGGCTTGGTCTTTCTGATCTTGTATCACTAGAGAAGGAAAAACAAAAACAAAAAGCACAAGCAAGCAAGATTAAACAGCTGAGAAGTTGCAATTACACCAGAAACCAAATAAAAAGCCTGACGAATACAGGAACGAGTTCATGACATGCTATAGTAGCAGGTTTCCGCGATGTGAAATGCAATGATACCATGACTACTTAGCTTTCACAGAGAGCCAAGAACAACATACATTGATCATAGATGTTAGTCCTGTAGTTTGGAGCAGACCCAGCTAGGAGCAATTGGACTGCCTCTGAGTCTCTTGTTGTGGACAACTCCACTGCTGAATTCAGATTCTGGGTGTCTAACAGAATCCCAGCAAGCTGAGAATTGGGGAAAAAAAAAAAAACCATGAATGAAATGCTAGTCTCTTTGCTGAATTCCACAAAATTATGGTTTGATGTTAAGCTAGGGTTTGGGGAATGAAACTTAACACACCAGAAGCTTTTTTAGCATGGGGAATTCCAGCAAGTCATATGCATCCTCACAGTAGTTGTCTGTGAGAATGGTGCATTGAGATCCAACCTGAAGGAAGCCAGAAAAATAAGCCAGCAGAATTAGTTTAGTTACTTGTTCTTGTTATCATCTGGTAATTTGTTAGATGTAAGAATAGACGCGAACAAGGGTTTGGTCTAGTGGTAATTAGCACTAGTATTGAATCTGGAAGTCACATGTCTGAATCCTTTCGATAGTGCCTAACTATAAAACTCAAACTATGTCACCCTTGTAAAAAAATCGATAGACAACTAACCTCGCCATTAGTCCGAAGGATATCTTGCCCCACCACAAGAATGTTCAGTTGTCCCGACATCATTAGGTTCTCAAAATCAACCTGAAATCCAGAGAGAATGCGGACTGAATTAGTACGATATGGTCTGCTTTGGGTTAAACTCGTACGAAATTATTTGATCAAGGCATAGGAAAGGTACCTCCTCAGCAAATAGCAAAGATTTGGCATCAAGGCCAACATGGTGGAACAGCCAAGCTGCCTGCCTCTGCTTCCACATACGACCTCTCCTAACATTCATCACCGGCACCACTACGAAAGGCGCCTCGCCATCGCCGCCTCCATCTTCCTTGCTCTTCCTCGCCCTGTTCTCCATCAACCAGGCATGGCAAATCGCTGCCACCATTGAACTTGTACCTACAAATCACATAATTCATTACCACACCCCAGCTATTTGATCAATCGTCATTTGTTTTTCAAAGGGAAGATTTTTTACATACTGTTTGAAGGTCCAGAGAGGATGATCTTGGCCTTCCCTTCAACCTCTTTGTTCATGATCTGCTCAATCTTGGCCCTCTGTTTTTTCAAGAACCCATTCAAGCTCAGCTCCTGCTGCTCCCCACTCAGTTGATCATCTTCGCGCCCGCTCGAATTCGGAGCAATTTTTTCGATCGAACAGGTGGACTTGGAAATAGACCGCCGGTGAGCAGACTCCACGAGATTCTTCGGCGGAGACAGCATCTGACCTGTAGGCTCCGGCGACGGAGCCTGCTTGAACCTTCTCGGAATATCCTGCGGCGAAGAAGCTGGCGGCAGTGGAGGCTGCGAAGGCTTCGGCGCAGATCGGAAGCGAGACTTCCTGATTGTCGATTGCCGTGGAGGCAGAGGCGACCCTGCATCGTTCGCCAGAAAAATCAGCGCGCCGTTGTTGTTGTTGTTTGGTGATTGGTATTCAGGGGAAGATCCGTTTGAAGTTGGCGGCTTCAGGTTATTGGAGATCCACTTGTGTACTTGCGATGCAGGGGACGAGTCGACCACTGAGTCGGACCCGATCGACCCGTTCCTGCTGTGCCTAGCTGACCTCGTCAGGATCTCCTCGCTGAAACCTTCAGTTGCTCTGTTTCTGAAAAATAAAAAATAAACAGGGGATTGTAAAAACTCGGAAGAGATTGGGATTGTCAACGTCCTTAACGAATCAAGTGAACAGGGGATTGTAAAAATTCAGTTTCTCTATTTCTAAGAAGAAGAAAAACAGGGGATTGTAAAAAAATTCGGCAGAGATTGACATTGTCAACGTCCTTAACGAATCAAGTGAACAGGGGATTGTAAAAATTCAGTTGCTCTGTTTCTGAGAAGAAGAAAAAACAGGGGATTGTAAAAATTCGCAGAGATCGTCAACGTCCTTAACGAATCAGTCAATGTAACTTAATTTTGTCAATAATATTGATTACCTTCTGGCGGAGCGGGAAAGAGGGTCTCGCTTGTCGAGAATCGACCCAGTCGAAAGCCTCGGCGAAGCGAACCTCGGCGAGCCGAGCAGCCTGGCACTAGCAGGGGAGTCGCAGCGGGACGGAGACGAGGCGACCATCCGCCTGGCCTCGTGCAGCCACTCCTGAGTCAGCTTGCTGCTGTCGCTCCGGATGCTGTCGTCGAATCCTCCTTCGTCGTCGTCGTTGTCTTTGTTGTCCTCCCATCGGTTCCCGGTGAGGTTGTAGGACTTCTTGGCGTCGTTGTTGACTGTTCCGAAGAACATGTCGTTCATGAAGTCGGTGAGGTCTGCTGACGGCGCAGGCGCCGGCGCCTTCTTGTGGTGGGCGGTCATGGAAGTTCTGGCTGATCCACGGGTGAACCTTGTCCGATCCATTTTGGGGTTTTCCGGCTTTGGGAGGGAAGATCAAAGATTTGGGGGAAATGGGGGCGAAGAGAACTGAGAAAGGGTTCGGGGAATGGAGAGTTTTGTGAATGGAGGAAACCGTGTTGTGTGTGGGCATTGGGATTGTCGCGGATGCTGAGTTGAATGATCGGCCGGCGGATTGGCCGGCAGCTCTGTCTTGTTGTGCGGAGGATCGACTTAGCTTTGGCTTTCATGTTTTTAAAATATGTGTAATCTTCGGAGATTCTTGTAATCGGTATATTTGGCATTTGGATTCGAATTCGGACAAACCGATGGCAAAGAATTGGTAAAAGCAAAGTTGGGTATATGCTTGGACGGGTTCGGATTGTTGTTTTCCGGCTAGCGGCTGCCGGCCGGACTGGGCTCGCCGGTTGCTGGTCTTGACAGGGGAAGGCTACGCTCAAATAGTTCTATGGTAGAGCATTAAGGAGGGAATAAGAATTGGCGTGGCAATTTAAATATTATGGAATTTAAATTGTTGAAATCATCGAAATATTATTATTTGACTATAAAGGTTGGGGAATAATAGTGTTAATCTGTCATTTGTAATTGTGAAATTGATATACCAAAGATAGCATAGTCTAACGGTAAAACTGTCGCGACAGTGAAGATTTGGGAATTGCAGATCTCATGTTTGAATCTAAGCGAGACCCGTTAGTGTTCCCGGAGGTACAGCCGTACAAGACTGCTAGAGGCGAAATCCCGTTGACGTCGAATTTGATTGCAGGTGGCCCCCAAGTTTAATAGGACCCGTTGTTACAAAGTGACACCTGTGGTTGAAGTTCATGGGTAATTAAAAAAAAAAGTAATGGTGAAATTGATGGATTTATCTCGAATTGAATTGGAATGTAGAAATTGGTGGTGAAGAATTAGAAATTCTAATTAATTTAACTTATCACAAAAAAATAAAATGAACAAAATTTTCTTCTAATTGATGTAACTTCTCATTTTTATCCATTAAAGTAGTGAAATGTATTAAATTCCTCAGTTCGATAGAATTTCATGTAATTTATTTAATTCTTTCATTTGAATGAATCCATAGAGTCCCTCCTACATATTTGGAACCTATATTCCAATATATTTTTTTTTATAGATATATTCAAATATTGTTAGCAACACAGTAACAAGGATATTTTCCGAGAATTGCTTATGTTAGTGTTTATGAGACTTGAATGATAGTGTTTATCGTGCCCATTTTAGCGACATTCCACCCAAATTTGGACATCATTAGTTGTTTTACTATGGATTTGCCTTCAAATTAAGATCTCTATGTGTTTTGACTCCTATAGGAGCACTTTGGTGCTTTTGATCCCTTTACAGTATCTTTTAATAATTTTCATGTCTTGACTCTTGATTTCAGTTTACCCTACTTCAATCTAAATTTGACATACTCATATCTACATGTGTGCAATAGAAGTAATTCATCCGAATTGTGAGTGTGGTCTAGTCATACACCAGGTAGCTGTGAAGCATATATATTACAAGTAGCATGTAGGATTAAAGAACTAAAACAGTCTCTTGACTTGTTGATCTAGTGATTATCCTAGGCGCATGGTCTCGTTAAACCTATGACAAACTTCAATTACTATCTCACATATATGTCATCTCTATAACCAGCGTAGCTAAGAATTCATCTAAGGTAGATCCAATGTGAAAAAATGGTTACATAATGTGTTTTTGACTTTTTGTAGACTGGAAAAGTTCTAAACTTCATTTATCGTGCAAATTATGAGGGATGTCATTCTTAAAAGTACTTTACTGAAAATCATTGATGATTTCACCTTGTCCATTGCATTAAGTGTTCTTTTTATACTTGGTTGTCGTTTGGATTGATAATTTGAAAAACTTGTTCTTTGAGGTCAAATACAAATAGCCAAATACCTTGTTATTAGGATTGATGTAACCAATAACAATAGTCTAGGATTATTTTTTATTCTCCACCTTTAGTAGTTGATGGTTAGTGTGCAGTGGGATTAGGAAATTTGATGACTGTTCGATAGTATAAACAAGAAACAACTTTTTAATATGCGAAATTATAGTGGGTTATTAAGATGACCCGCAATTCACCCATCATACATCCAAATAAATGTGGTCAATCCACCCAGATCAATCGCCAAACTCCTGAGAACCGCGGTCCATTAATGAAAAATACCTTAGGACCATGGACCGGACCATCATTGTATTCAGTCAATGTGATCTGGTTTGGTCTGATCCAAATATCAATTTTTGCATTATTCTCTTCCAGTTCCAGATCGCACTCTGCATTCTCTTTCCTGGACCCTTTGCTTCTCTCCTTCCCAGGTGGGTTAGGAAGGCTTGAAGAGGCAGGCCAAAGCCCCAAACATCTTCTTACTAGGGGAAGAAGCTAGAATAGGCCCAGCCGCCCAGGCCCAGTAATTAACTCTCCTATCACAAAATTCACCACCATCACCAACAGCAAAAACGATGGAAGAACGCACCGTATCAGTCGATTAGGCCTTCCAAGTTCCAACGAAGAGAACCTTGATTCAGAACCAAGTACAATTTGAGAAAGAAGCATCCGAAGAACAATGATGGAGAGGAGGAAGAGGGCTGTGAGTTGTGAAAAGTTTGGGTTTGTCGATCGATATTGGCATTCACTGGAGTTCCTCCAATGGTTTTGAGAAGCCAAATTTGGTACCATGGCTAATGAGTAACACTTCCCTGATTATTGTTTTACATAATCGTGGTTAGCAAATGATAACTCATATTTCTTTCATGCCTCTTCATTTCCCAACACCTTTTCTCGTAGTCTCGTCTGTTTATATACGTCCATCCACTCTTTCGGATAACTCATACATCTCTCTTAACTAATCTCGCGACTCTCAGACAATAAGAGTCCAACAAGTTCAATTTACTTCTTTTTATCTTAAATTCTTTCAACGAGGTCATATAATGTCATATTTCGCTAAAGCTAACCTCTTTCACAAAATTCTTTCAATGAAATTGACATGTGCAATTTTTCTGCAAAAGTTAGGTGCCCATCCAACTAAACACTTGTACCATCATATCTCTAGATTGACTCCAGCAAGGAGGGCAGAGATAACCCCTGAAGAAAAGTCAGCCAATTGTTCATCCAAACATTAAAGCAAGGATGATTCTTAACAATGAAAGCAAAAATTCAATTCGGGTCTCTTGATCATAGGTAAAGGTGTAGGTTCTATGTTACTATAATACAATCTACTCAACATGTTCTTTCTTTATCTTATTCTCTCTACTCTTGAGTAGGTGATGACTCCATTTGCTTTCAGATCGCTTCATTTCATTCCAAATGTATATTGTCTCGCCTGTTTATACATATCCATCCGCTATTTTGGATAACTCATAAATCTTTCTCAAACTTATGACTCGACTCTCAGAAGATAAGAGTCCAACATGTCCAATTTGTCCGCTGATCTGATGTCATATTCTACCATCAATAAATTACCCGTAATGCAAATACGTTATGTTGTATATGAAAGTTTCCTGCAAAGGGTAGGAGCCAACCAAGTAAACACTTATGCCATCATCACAAGAAGAGAGAATCGACACGGCGACACCTCCAGAAATGAGGGCAAATCTTGTTTATCTAAACTCTAAGGCACTAAAATAGTATCGCAAGTGTCTCCCCTGAAGCTGAAAGGGCCTCAAGCGGCTCTTCCTCCGGCGGTTGACTGCACAAATTGGGAGCCTTTCGGAGTCTTCTCCGTCGACTTAAATTCACCGGCCGCCGCTTCCCAGTTCGTTTTCCGGCTATGCCAGGGGACAGAGCAAGCAAAACAAATTTAGCTTTTTAAGAGCTGGAGAGAGTTGACTTGGTCTGATATTTCCATGTTAAATAAATAATCACATCATCATTCCATCCAATATGGTGACACTGCCCCCACCCTTTCATCATTCTTAAGGGACAATTTTAAATTAATCCTTCCCACGGATCCCTAATCTAATGGGGATTATCCAATTTCTCTAATCCACTAATTGGCTTCCACATTTTCTCAACTCTCCCCCCACTTGGAGCTGCAGCAGGCAGGGTATATAAATTCTTCTGGGCAAACAGATCCTTTCAATCAAATCATTCCTTCAAGCAAAAACAAGAAATAAAAGGAACCCACCTATCTCCTGAAAACTTGAATCCGATGGCATCCACGACGGCGCGTCCACTTCTCCTCCTGGCTTCCGCCGTTGTTCTCGCCTCTTTCCTGGCCACCGCCGCTCACGCCTCCGGTCTCTTCTCCACCCTCCCCAAAACCCTCGTCGTCACTGCTTCCCCAACTCCAGGTCAAGGTAAATCAAGATCGAGGCTTTCATGGAAGATTACGATTACTATGTCCAGAATCAATCTACCCATATAGATATATCATCGGGCAGAGCTTAATTCAACCTTGCAGCTTCAATTATGGTTTTTTTTTTTTAATTCCGGTTTTGGACTGTGTGTGCAGTTGTGAAGGGAGGAGAGGACAAAATCAAGGTCACGTGGGGATTGAACAAGAGCCTGCCAGCTGGCACCGACGACAAGTACAAGACCATCAAGGTGAAGCTGTGCTACGCGCCGGTGAGCCAGAAGGACCGGCCCTGGAGGAAGACCGTGGACCATCTCAACAAGGATAAGACCTGCCAGTTCAAAATCGTGGCCAGACCTTACGCCGGAAATGACAGCATCGAGTGGACGGTGGAGAAGGATGCCCCGACCGGCATGTATTTCGTACGCGTCTACGCTTTTGACGCCGTGGACGGAGAACTCGGGTACGGGGAGACCACGGATGCGAAGAAAACCACTAACCTGTTTCAGGTGGAAGCAATCAGCGGCCGCCACGCCACCCTCGACATCGTCTCCATATGTTTCAGCGTTTTCTCGGTTGTCTCGCTCTTTGGCTTCTTCTTTAACGAGAAGAGGAAGGGGAAGGCCGAATCCAAGTGAGGGGAAAGCAAATCAACCAAACAACGTATGGTTGATGTGTGTAGGGAACACATAAAACTGGCGATTAGTAATATCATTTCTCGCTTATTATTAAATTGTTCTATATGTTTGCCAGTTTTTTCCCCCTTTTTTCTGTTGATTTTCCTTTTTTCTTCTCCCTTTTAGTTGCTTAAGACTTGACTCTTGAGAGAGTGGCATATGACATGAGAGATGTAAGACGGGTCGGGTGTGGAAGACGGAAGGATGAATGAGAACCTAATACTTAAAATGTTTGACTTTGTTTAGTTGACAAAAAGAGAGATCTCATTGGATACATTTTCTCTTTTTTGAATGACAGTAGAGAAAAAAGTCACCTTCGATTATAGGAGTTTTCGTGACTAAAGAGACAATTTTTTTACTGAAAAATATTAGTTAGTGGTATTTTGTCATGAAAAGCATGCCAGTAATTAAAGGTCAATTATCACAAAAAATCTCGTGATTATAGAGATACAATGAGAAAATTTTCATGTCAAACTATCTATTCTGTCACCGTTATTAAACACGAGAAAATTATCATGATTGAACTATAAAATAAGCATAGGATTTTTCCGTGACTAATTCGGTTATTTATCAAGGGATTTTGTCCAATAGTCATATGCATGTTGGGCACATAACCATGCAAGAGCATCGGGTTTTTGTTTCAATGGTCACGGAACCCGTGATTGTTAGTTCTTACTAATCACAGAAAAATTGCCTGATAGATAATTGTTACCGTTGATTGTTATTAAACATTTAGTCACGGCTCAAGGGAAAGTCAAGTCTTGTGACTAGTCACATGAAACACTGTGATTGATATGAGCTGAAGTAACCGAAAAAACTGTAACATGTACGAGATGAATTTTTACTTGAAACAATTAAGAAGTATGAGCAATATATATCATTTACACATCAACGTTAATATGATTAAGAAATCTATTTCTTGAAGCATTTTAGTCACGTGAAACCTATCTAACTAATCATATCACAAAATATGAACGCTTCAACAAAATAAGCTAGACTAATTTCTATCTTTCTCAAAACAAAATTACCATTACACTCAACAATAGGGGTGGGCATTGGGTGGGTCGGGTGGATTTTGACCGTAAAATGCACTCACCCGCGCTTCAACGGATTGATAATTTTTAACCCACCACCCACCCACATTTAGTCTCGGGTTGGGTCGGGCGGATGGTGGATGATTTGGGTGGGTTTGTGGGTTCACCCACATCACAATGTATATAATATAAAGGAGTCAACTTGACATAATAATAGGCGAAGAGAGTTATTTGGGGAAACAAGAAGATGAAATAGGGCGGAAAATGTCGAATTAGTTCTTAAAATGGATAGAAATTCTATTATAAAAGAGTTTTCTACAGATTGAGATGATTATCAGGTGCAAGGAACTAAGAAAAATAATTCCACAAAGGAAAGAGCAGTGATCTAGGCACAAGAATTAGAGGAAAAAAATAAAGGGAAGAAAAGGGGATCGCTATTTGGAAGGTTGGCTTTGAGGTTCAAATTCCAGGAGCAGTCCTAGTTTATGTCTAACGTCTCCACTCTCTCCTCTCTAGCGCCGACGACTTTGATCTTTTTGTTGTTGAGTTGAGCGGGTCACCCGCGCACCCACCCACCACCCGGCGGATGGCTCCCAACGCAACCCGTCACCCACCCATAACCCACCCACTTAACGAAATTCGGGTCAAATGCGGGTGGGTCGGCCCAAACCCGCAGATGATCCGCCCGCATGCCCAGCCCTACTCAACAACGTGCAAGGTTGAACTACTATTCTCGTGCTTTACCCTTCTTTTTGCCACCCTCATTATGTTGCACTTCTGAATTATAAAAGAGAAATTAAAAATATTAGACTCGTTAAACAATACTACAATCATGTATGAAGTATTCTCCAAATTCAGATCGAGGAACGATTCCGAAAACAACAACAAATTTGTTCTTAATGATTAGGGCATTGGACGTCTCTGCTGACCATTCAGTGTAATTCAAATTCGTGAGTAGATCTCCGAGAAGAGTTTACTAGGGGCATCAGATAGATGCAAGTAGAGATCGAGGCGACCCAAAAGCTCGTTAGTAGGGGAAGAAGCGTAGAATAGGCTCAATTTGTAAGAAAATAATTTCCAAATATTATCTAATATGGCATGACCTTTGAGTTGTTATTTGTTAATGATCAATAATTTTTTCTGGTAATGACTCAACATGTGAGTATACCTACAGTTTCAAGAGGCAACTCAACAACAATAACGATGGAGCACTCCCTATCATTCGACAAGGCCTTCACTGAGCATAATCTTGATTTAGAACTAATTAAAATTTGATAAAGAAAATCTGAAGAACAATGATAGAGATGAGGAAGAGAGCTTTGAGATGTCTATTTTGATATTCATTAGAGTTCCCCCAATGATTTTGAGAAGCCAAATTTGGTAGCATGATCAAGGAGTAACACTCCCATGATTATGCATATTTCAAAAGGAAAAAAAAATACAACACTAACTATGTTTCTTTGGTAATAATAGTACCGTAATACAATTGTGTTTACATAATCATGGTTAACAAAAAAAAAAAAAAAATGATGGAAAGCAAAACTTCGATTTGGATCTCTTGATCATAGGTAAAGGTGCGAAGTCTAAATTTTATGTTACCACAATCTACTCAATATGTTTTTTCTGTATAATATTTTCTTTACTCTGCACATTTACACGCAAAACCCACAAGCTCAAATTTTAAACACAAAAATAAATTATTTAAATCTCTAAAATAGGTGATTTGATGCTACATTCCGCAGTCGCCATGGTTCTTATCAATAAATTACCCGTGATGCAAATGTCTTTTGTTGTATACTCAATAAAAAAATGAGTTAATAATAAAACCCTCAATGTGATGTGACATATGAAAGTTTTATGCAAAGGGTAGGAGCCAGCCAACTCTTGTTATAAACGCGCTGCTACGGATCGGGAAATCGCTGAAATCGACAAAGCAAGAATACGAAAGCGAGAATCGAAAAATACGACACACGATTTACGTGGTTCACTAACACGATGTGTGTTAGCTAGTCCACGGGCGAGAGAGAGCCAGTTAAGTTTCACTATATCGAGGAGATTACAGATTACAGAGGAGTATGAGAAGTATTTATAGTACTTCTCCTAGATCTAACCCTAATCCAATCTGGTAAAGGAACTATTCCAATCGTAGCGAGACCCCCGACTATTCCACTCGTAGCGGCTGATAGTCCGATTCAAGTCACATCAACAGAACACTTGTACCATCATCACAAGAAGAGATCCACGACTCCAGAAAGGAGGGCATAAATTACCCCTCAAGAAAGATGGTTCTTAACAACGAAAACAATGAAAGCAAAATTTCGATTCGGATCTCTTGATCATAGGTAAAGGGGCAAATTGTAAATTCTATCTTACCACAATCTACTCAAAATGTTCTTTATGTATCATATTCTCTTTACTCTGCACATTTACAAGCAAACCCACAAGCTCAAGGTTTAAACACAAAAAGAAAAATAATTAAATCTCTAAATAGGTGATGACTCAAATTTGCTTTCGTATATCTTCATTCCCAATATATCTGATCTCACTCGTTTATATATATCCATTCACTTATTTGGATAATTCATACATCTCTCTCAAACTTATCTCGAGACTCAGGGGATAAAAGTCCAACAATTCCAATTTGTCTGCCGATGTATGTCACATTCTGCAGTCGCCATAGTTCTTATCAACAAATTAACCGTGATGTAAATGTCTTTTGTCGTATAATCAATAAAAGAAAGATGATTTAATAATGAAACTCCTCAATTTTGACATATGAAAGTTTTCTGCAATGGGCAGGAGCCAGCCAACTAAACACTTGTACCATCATCACAAGAAAGAGATCCACGGCTCCAGAAAGGGGAGCAGAAATTACCCCTCAAGAAAGATGGTTCCTAACAATGAAAGCAAAATTTCAATTCGGATATCTTGATGATAGGTGAAGGTGCAAATTCTAAATTTTACGTTACCACAAATCCACAATCTATTCAACATGTTCTTTATGTATTCTATTCTCTTTACTCTGCACATTTACGGTAAACCTACAAGCTCAAGTTTTAAACACAAAAAAAAAAAATATTTAAACCTCTAAAGAGGGCGATTACTCAAATTTGCTTTTAAACACAAAAAAATCAAATATATGTAGTGGGAAGCAAAGATCGAACTAATGATCCAGTGGTTGATAATGAGAAATCTTACCATCTCAACTAGGAATTTTTCATTTATAATACATACATATTTAATTATATCAATGTTAATTATTTGTCCTAATATCAAAACACAAAACTCTAATCGTCGATCCCAACAATCCCCCTTTACAATTTTGTTCTTCCTCCACCCAACAGTAGCAGAGGCGCTGCGAGTTGCACGCTGAGCTCGCAAAACCTCCAAGCTTTCCATCCTCCACCCTCCAAGCTCTCAATCTCCGGCTCCAAGCTCGCCGAACCTCCACCCACCACCCATATTTCCGGCTCCTACCCAACAAATCCAAACTATCTCCAGGCTCCAGACTTTCGTTCTCCGTCCTTCACCTTCAAAAACCCTTCTCTTTTCAATCGTGAGCAAGGCTGGGAACAACAAGCCAGCAACACAAAAATTACTTTGTTTGAAATCATCAATATTTAACAACAAGGTAAAATCTAAGTTTTAATTTCAATTACTTGAAAGTTTTGTTATTTGTGTTAATTTTAGGGTTAGGTTTGTGTGTTTGTTATACTCAATTTCATCTCCAAATTAAGTACATGGACTGAATTAGTCATATAATGAAGTTAATTTTCATATTTTCGTTTAGAGTTGACTTTTCTATTACATAGTTGACTTTTTCATGATATGAAGAAGCACCCCCTTGGTCAATTTTCTGGCTTCGCCACTGGATAACTCATACTTCTCTTTCAAACTTATCTTTGACTCTCAGAAGATAGAGTCTAACCTGATCAATTAATCTGCTGATCTTATATCACATTCAGGCTTCCGCAGTCGTCAGTCTTCATGATTCTTATCAATAAGTTATCCGTGATGCCAATGTGTTTTGTTGTATGATCAATAAAAGAAAGGCTTAATTGCAAGTTTGGTCACTCGAATTGCTACAAAATTTCACGTTTGCCACTCAAATTAATTTATTCCATTTATAGTCACTTAAATTAGGTTAACAGTCCAAGTTTGGTCACTGGCCGTTAGTCTCCGTTAACTTTTGCTGATGTGGCGGTCAACTCTTATAGTTGACCGTTAAATGAGTGACGTGGCGATTAAAAATAATAAAATAATTTAATTTAATTATTTTT